TACTCTTGGGATGACGAGTGCTCTTAGCCAGAAACGAGCACATTCGAGCATTTTCGTATATACTTTTGTGTATTTCACTTTAATATTTATGTACATCGATCGGTATGCAAATATTGCCTTTTGCACGCTCCGAGTTTGCGACTGTTAGCCGGTTAAGCTGCCTTTTCATTTGTTCCTTTTTTAATTTAAATTGTACTTTTGTAGTGGAAAAGTGTGGATATTTTTGTGCGCGTATTCGTGCGGATAAAAAGGTAAATAAATGAGAGTAAAACAAGTAATAATGTATATTTCATGAAACTACTAGAGGGGCACCAGAAATACAGAAAAAGGAAGAAATAAACTATCTTATCCATTGCCTTTGGCCATCCGCTTTCCAAGGAGAACCCACTTAGACGTATAATCGCCTTTCTGTTTATTTACACACGTATAAATTGGGGCAGCCACAGATTGGAACTTTCTACTGCCTCGGCCGGCGGCGAAGGGTACTTGAAACATTTAAATAAAATTCCATTAAGTAAACAGCCTGTTCAGCGGACTCCTAAAATATTTGCATAGATAATTGCGGGCACGAAACTGTTTGCGCACTTCTTTTCGGCTGGGTAATTAAAGTTTCTGAGAAAGGCACTTCAAATACTTTTGGTTACCTTAAAAAGTCTAATGAGAAGTTTAAACTTACGTTTCATTTTTATAATCTAAAGTTTACAGAGCTGGTTCCTAGGCTTATCCTTTTTCTATTTCATCATTTAAATCTCATTCACCACTTTTATTTTAGGAACAGAAATAGCTTTACATCCTGAAGTAAAATTTCGCATTTCTGAAGTGGAAAATCCATGTTAGTGAACTTGTGTCCTTGTGCCTGTGAGCGATGTGATTGGCTTAAGCCAATGAATGGCTGTCCTGCACTCTTTTGCCACTCAGATTCTCAGGCTGAATATCTTCACGCTCCATCCTATCGCTTGATGCTCTTGATTGGGTGGAGGCTAAGGCCTTTGATGTCATGATATCCTGATGTCCTGGCTCTCGACTCTTAGCTCCTGGCTCAACTGGGAACGTGTGCGTGGGTGTGTGAACGACCCGAATCTAATTGCATAATGCGATGCTTGGAATGCGCTTGACGCCATCTTGGCATGCCCCATTGTTTGCAGGCTGGCAAATTTAAATTTAATCAATAAATCACGTATACGCCGGGTGTGTGTGCCCATGAAACTGGGGGAAAACCCAAACTCATTTTCATTCCGTTTCCTTGGCTGTCGGAGTCGCCGCCACAATGCGGCTTGTGTCACTTGTGTTGTCATCGTGGTTGTTGCCTTGTTGTGTGCCTTAATTTGCGGTTATCTCGACTGGCCCCGGCACCAGCCAAATCCAAAGCAATCCAATCTGATTCCAGTCAAGCCACAGCTCCTGTTCGCTGCCACCGGCAGGGAACGTGAACGTGAACGTGTCCGGGCCTCTGCTCTTGTGCCACATATTTTGACATTAGCACAGCTGCAACTGACAACTATTATTAACATGGGAGCGGAACGTTGTGCATTTGGCATTTAATTGTAATTGTTGTCAGTGGATTCGGTGAATTCCGGACGGGAGCGCAGTGACGGGTAATTGGCATGGAGGTGCCGCCCAGGGAGTTTCACTGGGCATTTAAATTTATAATTATTCGGCCTTTGTTTGCGGCTGTGGTGGAATTCGGTTTCGGTTTTGGTTTGTTATGCATTGTTCTATTGTTTCCTCGAATAGTTTCGCCCAAGGAAATAGTTTTGCGTGGAGAACGTTATGAATAGCAAATGAATGTCCAAATAAGCAGCCAAGCTTTGGGAGCAGAGCAACAAATCCTTAATCCACGTGTCGGGAGGCCTATTGTTTCTGGAACCAAATTATATTACGTATCGTTAACAAAAGTGCTGTGATGGATTTTCCGATAGTTTTTTGATAGAGGCAATTGAATGGCCCTGCCGATCACATCAAGCTACATTACTTGCTCTGCCAATCAATCAAGGCGTCGAACAATCAGTCAGCGGAGGGCAGCCACTAGGGCGGGGGCAGTACAAGTGACGGACTCAATAAACACCGAAGGGCAAGTTGACTGCGGAAAACAGGGGTTACTCTTATTGGACATTAACTTATGTTCAGTCGTTATAAATGTACTCACTACTCACTCTTGCACCGAAAAGAGGCCTCCTGATGTATACAATAATAATATAATATAGAAGTGATCTTTATTTTATTTAAATAAATGCAAATATTACATACTCTTCATTTCAGTTCACCATATTCTAGGGCAGTTTTTATTGGTGAAAGATTCTGGCAGTTAATGTCCTATGGTCTGACATAATTACAATTTTTGGTCAATTTCCGTCTTTGGGTGTTTATTTTTTATTAGGTTGTTGAGGCACTAAAATGATTTTATTGATTTTTATTGTCACGCAACTTCCTCTAATGGCCTCCTGCCTCTCTGTCGCTCCTTGCCCTTTCTCTCTCTTGCTCTGCCGCAGCCCCTTTCCTAATTAGTTTCCCCCCAACTGAAACTGGCAGCCGAAGGAATCATCCATAATTAAAAAAGCTTCCCAATTTCAGTCCCTAATATGTGATGTCTTGACGATTTTCAATTAGTTGTCGTCACCAGCGGGGAGTTCAATGAATGGGGTGGGTTGTAGGAGGTAGACGAGAGGTGGCTCCGGGCCTCCAGCAACATAATGAAGTTGAAATGAGTTTAAACAGGGAGCCCCAGGAGAGGGTTCAGTCTTCGGTCTTCCGTGAGTCACATGTGCGCCAGACGCAGACGTTGATTAAAGCGGCCTGGTAATTTGCATTACCGCAGCAGCTTTCCTCCGTCTAGGCAGGCAATTTCTTACTCCTAACTTATTGGATTTGCTGGTTAATAAACTATGGACTTACTTATCAAGTGCGCGTCTCGCTGTAAATTACTTATGGCCGAGAAGCGAGTGCGAATCGCTTCCAGCTATGCAGCTAAGAAGTACAAGAATAGAACAAAGCGGGCCAAAGAGCTTAGATTCGATTACATAAGCTTTAAATAAACCCGCGCTGACGTTTGAGACTAATTGAAATCGACGTAGTCTGCTGATACTGTGCCCTTCTATTTAAATACCTTTCGTTAAGAAGGCTGAAAGGAAGTAAAATTCGGATTCAGAAAGAACTTTAAGGATTACTATGAAGCTGCTTATATCAATTGTAATTCCTAAACCATAAGAAAGCTAAAAACAAAGTTAGCCAAGGCTAGAAAATAATAGTGCCAAACTCACTGCCCTCACGTGGGCGCATAAATTTTTAGCTGACAGCCTCGGACAGACGGAGCTCGCTGTTGCCGTGGCACTTCATATGTCCAGTTGGAACCCGCTTTCTCCCCCTAATCGCTCTTCTGACTTAACCAGACCTGCACGCGATGCACACCATCTATACTTATTGTTGCTGTTGCCGTAGTCAGGCCCCGTTAGCAAACAGCAATGACAAAGGGAAGCCATCAACACTGTACCGCCTTCTTGTCCTTTATGGGAAAGGCTGGTCATTTTATTGAATACAGTTGTCCGTCCAAGAGCAAGCCCTAAGTAGGTGTTCTCAACAAGAAAGTGGAACTCAAATGGACATTTTCTGTGCCTTGCGTTTCGTGTGTTAATGACGCCACAGTTTTCCACTAGAGTTATGAACTTGGATATGCATTTCCAGTCGGTGTGGAAAGTTCAGGCAAACACAGAAATACTATTATAGCAAACAGATTTTAATAGTTTAATGCCAGTTGGCCACAAACTTTTCCAGCAATTGGCCAAAGGGCATTTTGTCAGTTCTCAACCAGGCTAAAGTTTTAGTCCATGGTCAAACAAAAAAATGAAACACTAAAGGTTTAAATCTGTGTAAGTACATGGTTTATTTTAATTCAAAATATAATAAATGATTGATTTTTCTAAAATGTTTTGACTAAAATATATTTCTGGTGAAAGCATAAGGAGGCCTGATGATCAGTGGTGTAAGATTTTCGGAGAGCGTGAACAGAATATCATGTTGCCTTCAGACTTAAGCTTCCGCCCTAATGGCAGCTGCTCTTGTTGCGGCTGCTGTTGCAAGTTTGAAAAAGTTACGCAACAGCTTCTGCAGTGAAGCGGACACCGACACATATTAAAGTTTCGCCATATCTAAGATTTCTTGTGCTCCTTCTTTTTGGCCGAGGCCCGCTTTAGAAGAAGTTGCTGCTTTTGAGGAAGTGGAGCTTTGCTGCCGACCACAAATCGTGTGCCACCTCACCCTGCGTCCAGCATTAATCCATTTAAAACTTCGGCTGGCTTGCGCCACGAAACTTCATTTAAACCAAGTTCTCTGAGTCCTTTACGAAAACCGGGAAAATCAAAGTTCCTCATTGTTGCTGTGGCCTCCGGGCTGGCCTTCTTTGACGGAAATGGGAGAGGAAGAGCACTTCCCCTCGTCAACTACTGACCGTGTGACATCATCGGCAAACGTCACGTGCCAGCTACAGTGGACTTCTTAAAGTCCTGGAGCTTAGCATAACGCTGCGACCAACTGCTGTGCCTCTGACGGAAATTATAGTTAGAACAAATGACTGACGAAATAATTATTGCATACTTTGCAGGGCTACAATGGAAGAAAGGCCAGTTTGATTGACAGATTTTTCCCATTCGTCACGCTGCAAGAGGAAATGCATGTGTAGGCAAAAAGCTTATATTGCTGATATAGTATATTAAGAACTGAATAATATTTTAAGAACATTACAGTCTTCTGCTATATGCCTGTAATTCGCCGAGTAAACGTTATGAAACTTAAACTGCGTTAAATTAGCTTAATTAATGCAAAGCTGAATCCTTCGCGGGGCTTAAGTACTGAGGCAGAAGCTGTCTGAACTGTAGGAGTTGCTCCAGCTGGAGCAACAATTAGTTTAATTTATGCAGCAGCGAGAGCCACTCCAGATTTGCATTATTCCGCACCAAAGAGAATGAATATAAAAATAACGAGAAACTACTTTCCCTCTGTTGTTGCAGGAGAATGGAAGATCAGTTCCTGATGTCACTGCCAGCCCTGGACGCGCTCCGCCTGGACCGCTGCCCGCCAACCAGCTGTCCTCGCTGGGTAACCAGCAACATCATGGCAACCAGCAACATCACGGAAACCAGCAGCATCATGGAAATCAGCACGGCAACCATCGTGGACAGAGCGGCAGTTTGTCGAACTCCGCCGGGGTTAAGGATCCTGTGATGCTCCAGGGCGACTTCCGCAAAGTCAGTGGCATCAGCTCGGAGATCTTCCGCCAGATAGAGGCGGTTGAGAATGACCACGACCCAAATACGGCTGCGGCTTTGGAGGCGGTGGAGCGTCGCGGAGAGATGATTGTGCGCGTCCTGGAACCCCGTTGCATGGGCAGCAAACAAGCTGTGGACGCCGCCCATAAACTGATGAACAAGGCAGATGGCCGACACACCGTGCAGTTAGTGGAGATCGTCAAGCGACCGGGTCAGACCTTGGGCTTGTACATCCGCGAGGGAAACGGAGCGGATCGTACCGACGGCGTTTTCATCTCGCGGATTGCGCTGGAATCGGCGGTCTACAACAGCGGATGCTTGCGGGTGAGTTTGTTGCAAAAGCCCTAGTGAGGCAAAGATTAAGGTTATCTTTCTTTCAGGTGGGCGATGAAATTCTGGCGGTGAATCTAGTGGACGTGACCCACATGTCCCTGGACGATGTCGTCATCATTATGTCAATTCCACGCCGGCTGGTTCTTGCGATACGTCAGCGTCGCGGCAATCGAGGTACAGGATCTCCCGGACCGCCAACGCTCTCCCGGCCGGAACAAAAGCCGCCACCGGTTGTTGTGATCAAGCGGGATTTGCGGGACGAAGATCTAGACGAGACGGACCGGATGCCGAGGCCGCGCTCATCACGTGAAAGACGTACAGGTAGTTTGAAATTGACGCTGTGTTCGCCAGGCTAATCGGGTCCATCTCTTCTGTTTTTTTTCAGGAGATGGTCGCGAAATGACGGAATCGCGATCTCGTCTGGGTCTGGGCCTTAATAACTACAGCCCGCAGTCGGAGCAGCTGGATATGTACTACAATACCCGCGGCGGAGGTGGAGCTATGGGTGAGCCGCCAAACTGGGGATACAAACCACCTCCACCGCCGTCTTCAGTGATCACGGAGCAGCCCACGAAAGGTCACGCTTTTGCGCCATCTCATGCTTACTACCAGAATGCCGGAACCTTGGAGAGCCTGGCGGAGAAGGTACACGCCTTCTATCCTGGACAGCCCGGCGGCCCACCTGTGGGTCCCTCGAGAAGAATGTCCACTGGCACTGGAAACGTGGGTCTCGCTCAACAGCATGCTAGATTCCCCCGATCTGGTTCAGATCAGCATTTACCTCGCGTTGAATATGCCGACTACTCAAATTCTTTGGGGCGGCATTCCCTTCTACGATCGAGTTTGAAACCAGGAACGGCTGGTGGTGGTCCAATGCCAGTGGGAGTGGGAGGCACTCTTGGGCGGTACGGGCGCTATGATCAACAGAGAGCCGGAGTATCGAAGTACGGTTCCCCGGCTGGAGGAGCTCAATCGTTGACCCGTCGATCCAGACCAAATCTGGATTATTCTAGCGATACGGAGGCCACAATTGGACCCAGACCAAGTTACTACTACTATAACAGACCCGCCATCGGCAGCATGCCAAGGGGAGCAAGTGGAGCTGGGGGAGGTGTAGGTGCAGCTGCAGCAGCTGCCTTACTGGCCGGAGCTGCGGATCTCAATAAATTTAACTCATTGCCTCGCGAACGACCTGGAGTGAGATTGCAGGGCATTCGCTCCAGGATGGGAGATCGTTTGGTAGACGAGAACGACGGGAACACTTCGGCTCCAGAATTCGACGCGCGAAGAGGCAGGGACCTGCGACAGCGAATTACCGCCAGCCCGTCGATATTCACGGCGGACGAATACCGCGCCTGGCTGAGAAGGGCTCCTAGCAGTTCTGCGATTGCGGAACAGATGCGAATGACTCGGGACATGTTTGCCCAGCCGAGAGCTCAGAGATTCTCCTGCAGCGCCGAAAACATTCACGATGCACTGAGAAATGTAAGTTCACTTTACAGAAGCGCATGCCCGCATTTATTTTAATGACAACAATATTATCTTTTTCAAAAGACGGAGAGCATATACTCCAGTAGAACCCACATTCTCGGCACGGGGACTCTCGATCGGAACATGGGACTGACCCGACCTATATCTGCACTCCCTGTACGATCCATGTCCTCGCAGCACATTGGAGGAGCGGGTTCTATTCGATCTCCCAGCATAAGACGAATGCGGCAGCTTTTGGAGCTTTCCTCTGGTCCTGCCAGTCCCAGCGGTAGCATTCTTAGCACTGGTGGTCACCAAAGCCCAGCTCCAACGCCAAGCGCTACGCTGCCACGCTCACACCGCCAGATCGATATCAATCCGGCGGAGTTTGCCAAGTACAAGCTGGATAAGCCCATTGTGGATATCGGAGGCATATCCGGGATGTTGTGGATTCATTTGCTGGCAGGTCGCGGACTGAGAACATCTCCAGAGGGAGCGGGAGGAGCGGCACCACCAGGTCAAACAAGAGATCTGTATTGCGTGATCGAGTGCGATCGCGTGCACAAAGCCCGGACTGTGGTTCGCTCCGGCGACCTGCAGTTCGACTGGGACGAGTCGTTCGAGCTAGACTTGGTGGGTAACAAGCAACTGGATGTGCTGGTCTACTCATGGGATCCGCAACACCGACACAAGCTCTGCTATCGAGGCGCTATCTCATTGTCGTCAATCCTTCGGCAATCTCCACTTCACCAGCTGGCTTTAAAGGTCGAGCCCAGAGGCACGATATACATTCGAATGCGGCACACGGATCCACTGGCGCTCTACAAGAGAAGGGGACTGCCTAGCTTGAGGGCTGGCTATCCTACGCTCTTCGGCGCCGACTTGGAAACAGTGGTCAACAGAGAGTCTAAGAACGCTCCCGGAAGTGCTCCAGTTCCGATTGTTTTGAGGCGCTGTGTGGAGGAGGTGGAGCGCCGTGGGCTCGATATAATCGGGCTGTACCGACTGTGCGGCTCCGCCACAAAGAAGAGACTGCTGCGCGAGGCCTTCGAACGCAACAGTCGAGCCGTGGAATTGAGCCCGGAACATGTTCCTGACATCAACGTCATCACCGGCGTGCTCAAGGATTACCTTAGGGAGCTGCCCGAGCCGCTGTTCACGCGTTGTCTCTTCCAGATGACGGTGGATGCCTTAGGTGATTATTTACTGCGTATTATCAGTAATTAGGAACCATTCCAATTTGCTTGCATTCTTTATTTTCAGCTGTCTGCTTGCCAGATGACCCAGAGGGCAATGCGAAACTGATGCTTAGCATACTCGACTGCCTGCCGCGGGCCAACAGGGTAAGATCAGCTTTTAAACATTCGAAAGTACGTTTTTACCGAACTCGGGTTCTGCTGCAGGCCACCCTGGTATTCCTGCTAGACCACCTCTCACTGGTCGTTTCCAACTCGGAGCGGAACAAGATGTCCGCCCAGGCGCTAGCCACGGTGATGGGCCCACCGCTGATGCTGCATTCGGCGAGTGCGCAGCCGGGCGCTGACATCGATCACGCCCAGCCGATCGCAGTGCTCAAGTACCTGCTGCAGATCTGGCCGCAGCCGCAGACGCAGCATCAGCAGATGGCGCAGCACATGGGCGGCGCTGCCGCGGTAATGATGGGCGGCTTGGCCACTGCCGGAAGCATGAGCAATATGGCCAACGTTTCTTCAGGTAACGTACTCCCAGCATCCAATCCCCACCTCACAGCAACCCGAAAGCCCCTAACCAGCGACAAACACAGAATATAGCCACCACACTTGCAAGAGTTTGATCCCTCCTTTCTTTCTTGTTTTGGGTGCATCGCTGCATCAGCAGTTGTTCCAACTCAGGATCTTTGCCACCACTCGCCCTCTTTTTTAATCTCAAGTGCGGCACGAAGTTCGTTCTCACTGCTAGCGTTATGCCACTTACACTCAGGCACACATCTCAATCACCCACCCACCACGGTTGCTACATTCTATGCGATTTCTAACTCGATTTGGGCTTGTCTGTATAAGAACATTTCTGATTAACGTAACTTAACTTTATAGCTTAAAATTGGTTATCAACACAAAATGTTAAAGTCGATTAAAAGAATCATTGCCTTTAGAGGTGCCATGATTCGAAATAAGATCAAAGCAGCTAGTTAAAAAGGTACATATTAACGTGAAGATTTCTTTAAATGCAAAAGTTAAGGGGCTTTAGTAAGTAGCAATTAAGTCGCAACCGTGAAACTCACTCATATCACCTACTCAGCCACCGAGAACACCTCGTACCGCGTCCACATTAATATTGATTAATACAGAGTCCTATGTAGACAGGTCGGCGCGGCGAGTCAACAGGGCAGCGTGGAAGCAAAGTCAGTGCGTTGCCAGCGGACAGACAGCAACTTCTACTGCAGCAGCAGGCGCAGCTCATGGCGGCGGGCAATCTTCTGCGCTCGTCCACTTCGGTAACCAACATACTCTCCCAAGGCCATCCTCAGCTCTCAGCCACAGCCAACAGTCATCTGTATCAATCAGTAGTGGGTCAGTTAGCTCAATCGCATCGAGCCTTGCAACAAGCGGTGCAACAGGTAAACAAACAGAATCCACACAACACATCTACAGAAACAGCATAAAGACGACGCCGCGATCAATGATACTACTTGCAACATAAGAATACTTAACCAGAAACACTTGCATACGACAGTCTCATCCACATTATACACTCATCGCACTCCAACGAACATCCATATTTGGTGATAATTTTGGAATTATTATTTGAAGTTTCACAAGGGAATACATTGGCCAGTATTCCTTCCCAAAAAGGCAAACTTATTTAGAACTTATTTTATGTTTAATTTTCTTTTCTTTTTAATTTTAGTAATTTTTTATGTTGGTTTATGAAAAAGTTCTTAATTATGAATTTATGGCAAAATAGCAACTAACTTTTATTTCTATCGTTCACCTAACACAAACTCAATTCATACTAACACGACACATACTCCAGACACATTTTCTTGCTCTTCTAACTTTTCCTGTTGACCGTTCTGCAAATGATGATGATTATAAAAATATTTACCTACTGATCTATCAAATATGTCTTAAACGTTATCTGTTGTCAGTTTGATTTGTGCTTTTTAAGAAACAACAACGCTACAGAAATATATTAAAGTAAATCATAATTTGCCATGATCCCTGATCGATAGACGTTGTAATTGTGACATAAAAATATATACATATATCTATCTAACTATACAACCTACATATCAGTACATTGTAAGAGATGTTAATGATGATTATTTGAGCGATGTGATAAGTGTTGAACGGCGTGTAAGCATGATTGGCCCACTACTGGTAACAAATAAACATACTCGTAACGACTATTTCTACCACTTCAATCCAATATGTATCAGACAGCTCTGTATGCCAACACATGCCAAAGACCCTTCATGTAAATGCTTCATCAAACTCTTGAGCCACTTCCATTGTAAAAACTTCATCAACCAAAGCCTAATTTGTGTTCCATTGTGAATTGTGTACACCCCCTCCCAGAACTAGTTTGGAACCCTTATTGGTTGAAGATCACAGTAAAATCCGAAGCACAGCTGATTTAGTTTAGACGACCTCCAAGTCGGCAGGGGGGGCACTTCTGAGCATTTCATTTTCCGACGACATTCACTTGACACTAATTGGTACTCCGTAACTTGAAACTGATGTTTTTATTTATGGGGATAAAGTAACGCCCTTTTGTTTTAACTTTCACTTTAATCACTGTTTAGCAAACCCGTTTGAATTCACCTGCACAACACAGCTCATGCACAGAGTTCGCCTTAAACTAAAGCGAGTAAAGAACATGCGAGGCTTACCTTCTAGTTTAATCTAAATTCTTATTATTATTTTTATGTTGGCATAACACCATTTCGGCAAGCCGCAGTTAGATTACTTTCTCGCTTACCTTTAAGGCGAATCTTAATCACATTTCAAGCCCTCACGTTTTGGCATTACCAACTAACCTTACCCTTCCAAACCCACACCAAATTCAAACAATAAGATTTAATTGGTTAAACTTTGGCTGTGAACTGTAAGAGAACCGCACCGCGCACGAAGTCAAATTTTCTTTTGCCTGTGTCTTAATGTGTCCATTGTATGTGTCTCCTAGTAAAAGACCCGCTCTAACACTCTAACACTACAGACCAAGCCAGCTCAAAATTTTAAATTCTCTCCGCACCACCCACAACAATTAACTAGCACGTATTGCGCCCCAACTCCCTTGAAAGTTACTTGACTTAACGATTTCGCCGATTAACATTTGACCAACCTGGCGGGTTCTCCCCTGCTCCTCTTTCTCTTTACTAATCTCTTGCAGCCCTATCAATTGGGGGGCTCAGTGGGCTCAGCAATTCCCGACCCATCGCCACTGCCACTTCCAGGCACACCCTCCCCCGGCAGTAGTTCTGCTTCAACGGGCTCGGGCTCCGGATCCGGATCTGGTAAAAGTAAGTAAAAAGGAATATTCTCAAATTTCAAGTAGAGAAGATTACGTGGCTAATGCTCTTTTCATTTCTTACAGGCACGGATACCATCAAGCGCGGTGCTTCGCCCGTTTCAGTAAAGCAAGTTAAGATAGTCGACCAGCCATCCAGTCCCTATTCCCTAGTGATGAAGAAACCGCCGCTGCAGAAGGACGTGCCAGTAGATATCACAACGCCCACCACCCAAGCGGAGGCAGTTTCGTCCTTGGGTAGCAGTATTAGAAACAAAGAGAGCAATGGGACAGCTTCTCACAGGGAATATACGGACTTCTATGAACCACACAAAGCGCAGTCCAAGAGTTTGCTTAACGAGGAATCCAGCTACAGCTCCAAGTACGCCAGTTTGGAAGGTAAGAAGAGCAGCTTTGGTAGCAGCAACAGCAGCTACACGCCCAGCAAGACGAATGCCAGTGGCCCTCCTGCCGCCGATGACTACAAAGCCATGCGTAGTAAGTCGAGCGCCACTTCAAGCTCCAGTTCATCCCAGGCCACTGTTTTGAGTGCTGGTTCTACGGCCACATCTGCTCCAACCACCTCTTCGGACGATTCGGATGATCTGGTCTCCTACAAGTCTTCGGCCTCCACGAATGCCTTGCTTGCCCAATCGCAGGCCATGACCACTAGCCAATTGATGTCTAAATATCTAAAGCGGGAGCCAAGAGTGCAGTTCACGCCGATAAAGTCCCCGGACTCGCCATCGCCCCCGGGTGGTGGCGACGGTTTGCCCAAGGGGACTTACCAACTGGTCACGCCTAGCTCAGGAACAACCCCAAAACCTGGTTCTACTACTGGAGCTATAAGCAAGCACACCACCACTTCAGCTGACTCGAATAATCATTCCAACAGCCAGAAGTTGTCATCACCCTCGCGAATGACCAGTTCCAAGGATAGCAGGACTGGGGCGGTCAGCTGTACCACTGCCTCGTCATCGCTGGTTTCAACTGGTCGACGACTGTTCGATAGCCTGGCCTCTTCATCGTCATCGGAAACGGAGACAAAGACCTACATAGGAGGCACTACTGCTGCAAGCGCGGCTAGTACGACCACAACGTATACCAACGAACCCAGGAACTCCGGCAGTAGTAGCAGTAAGTCGGGAATGGGAGGGGGATCAGGATCTGGGTTGGGGACGGGCTCAGGAGCAAACTCCGAGCATCGAAGCTACGGCAGTACGCTATTCAGCAGTAGTGGCTTGGGAAATGGCAACGGAAGTAGCCACAATCCCAGTCCCTTTACCACCACCAACGGCAATGGCAACCACAATACCATGCATCTGTACGGTACCTTGCCCAAAAACGGAGCTTCCACAGGAGCAGCTCTGTTCAGTGGCTCGGCCAACAGCTCCTCCTACCACTCTTCGGGAGGTGGCAGTGGAGCGGGTACCGCTAGCAGCAGTGGGGTCAGCTCCATGACGGGCTCCACCAATAGCTACGACTTTTACACTAGCGGCAGTTCCACTGTAAGCAGTTCCCGACCCTTCGCCAACGGGGGCAACAACTACCACACTCTGGGAACGTATAGGGCTCAGTATGCAGCGACAAATCCTTTTCTAGACGCCTTCGACGAGAAGCCAAGCAGCAACGGGGCTAATAGTCAGGGAGAAGATAAGTTGGGTGCGGACAAGGGCCACCACAGGGCGGCTGTAATAGCTGCTTTCCAATCGTCGGGAGACTCGAAAAACGGTAGCGACGAGTATGACGATATCAAGTGAGCTATGAAAAATGCTCTTAAATGAGGTTAGAAAGGAAATTGGGTAGGACTCGTTTATTCGCTTGAATATGGCAAGAAAAAACAATTTTGAATGCCAATCTCACTGCTTCAATCCTCTAGGTTCCCGCTCTAAATATATGCAAAGGTCTTTTCCAAATTAATATAATATGTTTCCAAGTGCTTATTTAACCTTCGAGCTAAGGTTTTTCCAACATTTTAGTTTGTACATAGAAGCGCAGTTACCGAAGGAGTACGAAAATGAATGCCATACAATGCTGAAAGTGTTCTTTTGAAGTATTTACAGTTTACAAATTTACAAGATACGGTGATTATCGAATATAATCCTTAACAATAAACGATATGTACGAGTAAAACCGAAAGTCAAATCCCTATTGATCAGAAGCTCCAATGGCAACCCCTTCGGATCAAGCGGATGGAGAAGTTTGTTCTGGTAGCATGGACTTTGCTGTAATGCTTGAGAATGGGTAGCCATTAGCTAAAAAAAATCCGAATTCAATAACATTACGAACAGTATTTTTGAACGAACTAAACGTTAAACTAAAGACAACAGCGTATACAACAAATTACATTTAAATATATGAATAGAGAAACTTAAACGAATGGTTGATAGCGCATTTAATTTTTACAAACAAACCACATCTACATACATTTCTACACTGGCGAACCACACTAATGCACATACCACTACGTCATAATATGCCATTAATACTTTCGCATACTCCCGTTAGACAATGGAAATTGTATATAAGGAAAGCAGCTTTTTCACCAGTTTTCTAGCAATAATCTACCACATCCACTGCTATGTGTGTTTCAATGTGACCAACTCTCTAACCTGTAAACCAATATACACGACTAAACAAGCAAGCTAAACTAACTATTGGACATCTTTTTGAGGAACATACATATTGCATACAACGTTTCTCTACGCCTCTTATATATAACTCTATATACCCGTGCATGTGGGATCGAAAGAACCGATCGAAGTGACGTGGGCAACAGTATTATGGTTTTCAGACCTCGTATTAGAGTCCACATATGCAGACACCACACGGAAACCGACATGGAAAATACAAATACATGAATTTATTGACGAATCGATGTGCTTAGTTTTTGTATGAAACAAAGTCTGATATACACACTAATATACAACAGTACAGTATAATATTTATAAACATAATTATACAAGCTTTGAAAAAAACTAAAAAAAAAAGAATGGACAAGTAATGCTATAAAGATATATATAAAACAACATATTAAAACGCTTTGCGACTAAGAACAATTTTACAGCAGTTATGTTTTCAAAGCTTTTTATAACCTCACGACCAGGTGTGCTTAGCCCCAATCTTATGGAACATTACTTTTAATGAGCCGAATAGAACCCTACGAACTAATTTTGAGCTAAAATGATACATGATACCGGACTGTAAATAACCAGATCGCATTGAATCCATTTGCTAGTCAGAAATCCAAAGTTAATTCTAGGTATTAGGCATGGGCAAGGCAGTTAAATACGCATAGCCTTCAGTAACGTATCATTTAAACTAGGTTAGACAGGGACGTGGTAAGCAATACATGAATAGCAGCTCGGTGAGATGAAAATGGGAACCCGAACCCCTGAACAGTTAAGGGGTATGCTATCGAAACACTTTGAAATTTATGTTAGCTACCAATAAAGGCATAATCATTCGTCTTCATGCAAGTACAACTTCCTCCAGCAAATGAACAAAAATCCAAAACTGATCCAACTTATTATACTCACATTTATAATACATTTCTCATAACTAATCGAAATTATATAATCCCAAGAGTAAGCGCAACTATTACCAAGAGTGGGCGTTATTTCATTTTAACAATTAACACGGAACACGGATGAGAACAGCTTTGAGATTAAAGCTTTTACATTTTAAATAGCAAATTATTCAGTTAGTTGTTGTCAGATTTATTTTATTCAAGTGGAGAGAATCAAAGTGTTAAACCGAAGAGTTGAAAACCACAACATAGGAAACCATATAGTCAATGGAAATTGATTTTTATATAGAGAATTGTTAATTATTGCATATAGTAATTAGAGTTTTTAAAAAGTCAGAAATAAATTATATGGCAGAGGAGTTTCTTTGCCCGACCTGTTTATTTACTTTAAGATTTTAACGTCGTACATACCAAAGAAACGTCAATGTTACTACTGTCGCCTTTGTTTTAAACACTCGTTATACTCATATACCCCTAGAGACCCTCTAATCCAGTTTTCATGTCCTGATTTTCTTACCCAAAAGCTTTAATCGTTGAACGACCCGAAGGTTACGAATTCGAGACATATTCTACATCTACCAAATAATAGTATCGGAGATAGATATTTTGAGTAGGAAGGACAACGCCTCGGCTTATGTGCGAGATGTTGGGCTTTATAGTCGTAGTTAGCTTAGCCCTAAGATGTGGGAGACGGTGTGGAATCGAAAGTGTTCAGTTGGTGGTGGGTCTGTGGTGGTACATCTGGAGGGTGCGACTGCGTTGGCGCCTGTTCTGGCTTTTCCGCTTGCAGCTGTTTTCCTGTGCCCGATCCTGTTCGATATGTATCTGTACTTGTACTTAGAAATCGTAAGCATACACTATGGAATATATATCACTGTGTCATATCGTACATTTAAAGCAAGTAAAACAACCAAATTGTAGCTGGGCGAGGCAGCCAGAGACGGTAAATTGTTAACGCAAAGTATTCGTGTATTCAAATATGTATACAAACCTAAATTAATAGCGGCAGAGCATCAACTACATAATACACATAGATAAATACCAAAGGAAACCTTAACGAGATTGGCAGGCAACCAAGTACTACAAAATGTATATGCATTTAACTTAGATTAACTAACTAAACAGTAAATTACTAATACGAAACCCAATCCAATTGTAAGCTGGCGAGTGGCAGCGGCATATGAATTGATAATTATGCTACCACATTAGGCATTAATGTTAGTTAACAGAAAGTGAAACAGAAACGAACTAATTTACCGAAATGTATTGCACAATATCGAACACTTATATAAATATTAGCGAAAGTGACTAAGCCTAAAACCTAAAATACGCAAACGAGTAGAATCGAATACATAGGTAAAGGTGACAAAGGTATATTCAGATTCCGTTTAAGTTGTTTTTAAAACTGGATCTCGAAGTCGGACCATGAATCGACCGATTCCACGGCGGAAATCTCTGACAGCTTGGAAGGGAGCTCAGTTGTATCACGGTTTGCATATGTCTAAGTATATATAAAGAATGTGTGAATTTATGTATGTATTAAATGTGCGTACACTTTCGTTTATTTTTATACTACGAATATCCTTCCGCCCACGTCCTTGTACACTTCATTTCCGCCCCACTTTGAGAACCCTTTGACGCTTTACGGGGATTTTTTCGGGTTTTTCGCGCGATTTGCATGTCAATTGAAATTGAGTGCGAATGTTTCTTTTAGTCGAACTTAACAAGTAAATGGAGACCAAATGCTCAGGGCTTTAGCGAGTTATAGTAGGAGTAATATACAAATACCAAACAAGGGGAGACCCACGTAAGAACTAAGTGCAACACATCACGAGCATACTCCATCAAACGTTAGGTCAATGCATTTAAGTTGAAACTTTAGCCCTTGTTATCAGCATTTAAGCGGCGGGTGAAACACCAAAATAACAATAACAACAGCAGCCAGAACAAGAACAATCCAGCAAACAAATTTACAAAATCCAAGCAATCAATTTGTTGAAAAGACTGAAAACCATGAAAAACAAAATGAAAACCAAACGGTACTAAAGCAACAACAAGCACATCCTCCCTTACCAAACGGGAGTTTGTTCATAGAGATCGACATCAAACAGCATAATACAAATGGTATATGGTATATGGTATACAGACATACGAGTATATACATACAAGTGTTTTGGAGATCCCCAGTCATGAAAAGCCTCAAAGTTTTTCTTGTGTTTGCAATCAGTTCAAAATTTTCGGTTAAAACATATTCTAGCGCGTCATTGAACTTTACAAAGTAACATAACAAATCTTAAAGTAATAGTAAAATATTAGCGGAAATAATAAACATATTACCACCAGCATTTTGCTACCTACTTAATATGCAAGTTTAATAATAAAATGCAATAAAGAATAGTTTAACAAATAGTTCAAAACTTATCGAAAGTAGGGAAGTAAACAATACCGACTAGATCTATCGCAAAATGTATTAAACTCCTCCCAGGGCGTTGTGCAAAATTAATACCGATTATATTAAACTTTAAAATCATTTTCAAAAACCCACCATAAGAGGAAGCGAAAAGAACAAACTTAAATTATAGATAATCTACATTTTTTCCGTTTGCTAAGAATTCCTATTCATTTGATCCCTTCTATACTAATGGCTTTAGAACGTCACCCAAACAATTAGGAATTAATATATATACTTATGCTTATGTATATATCTCAATATCTTATTGCGGTTCCCCATACATATAACGCAGACGCAGCGGACAAGCTTAACCTCGTCGGAGCAAGACCCAATCCAACCAACTGACACGACACTGACTCAATATGCGCGGCGACATTAGAGACGATTCGTTAGAAAGGATAATACTCTGATTTACCACTGCCACAAAGAAGCAAACAAGTAAATTGTAACGTTTATATAGATATAATACAGCCGGTACATTATACAGATACTTTGCATATAGCGTAAATGATATATTGAGATGTGACTAATTTGACAGGGACACGGCGGGAATTCATTGCAATTATATAGTATGCATAATGCGTTGGCGGACCTGCATGCAGCGCCTGCGTGCATGTGATTGCCTAAAGAGCAAGTAAATTTAACGTTATAATTTATTCCAAAGAAATAACAATAATTATCGCATAATTATGGAAAGCAAAACAAATGCAAACTAAAACACAAAACGTTCTTTGCGTGAGAATAAAGCGATGTTACATTATTTAATGAAAATATATATACATATAAATACATTCGTTGTTTCATTGTTTTTAAAGTATCTTAAGGGGCTTGGTAAGTTATCCCTTATGGCGTGCAACAGTTTTATATGCAAATCCTACTCAGAAGGTTATCTAAGTTGTTGTTTTTCTTCACCCAGTGACAGTAAGTTGCTGCTAAATCTTAAATGCTGCCATCTTAAGCAATGGTATTCAAAGTGAAAGAACATTTACATTTGGCCGATTAAACACAACTAATTTACTTGAAGTATTGATCAGATATTAACTTCTGATCCTCGACATTTCGAGTTTTCACCTTCGGGCAAATGAAGGCATCATATGAGGATTTCAATCCTTTTTGTCGCATCCTCCTGAAAATGGGACTTAGCAAGTAAAACAACATTTGATTAATGATTCGAATCATTTTTATTTTTTATTTATTTCTCAAATATTTTCAATAATTAATATTATAATAATTAATTAAGTAATGCTTGTAACATAACAAATATTTTTCTCATATCATTGCAATCTCGATGCTGCTCTCAATTGAATATTTGGATGTCAACGCCGCAGCCTGTAGATTTGCTTTCACTTCCGCTTAGTATCTGCAACATGTCTTCATTCAACTCTTTACTTCTAAATATCTTCAGCTCAGCAAGCGAAATGATTTGATTCGTGCATTCACGTATGCCGTCAAATTCAATTGCAATAAGAAAAGTTACCTTTAAGTTTTAAAAAATTAATTAAGAGTCATGTAGCTGCTGTTAGATGTTAATTCATTTTGCCTGACGTTTCATGCGCTGGTTTTGTTTTATGTTGCTCGTCTTCGCAATCGCAATCGCAATACATATTAATATATCAATACACTTTAGTTTTGGTTTTTCTTTTATATACAATACACATAAGAGATTTGTAGTAAAATTTTGTGAGAAAAATCTTGCTTTATGTAAACATCGCCTTTTAGTTTTACGTTTTTCATATAGAGCATAAAATGATTATTTTGTCGTATTACCTTTAAGTTGTACAATTAGATAGCACAAAAGTTTCAAAGTGTTCTTGCTTGGTGTATACTAAACGTTTGATTTTAGAAATGTTTGATTGTTTCGCGTGTGTCTATTTGCAGTTGGGTTAGTTAAGCAGTAGTTAAGGGTAAAGGGCAGATTGACAGGCTCTCACGTGCAACGGTTCACAGATGATTCCCAGGTGATGCCCGGTAGTGAAAGAAGCGGTGACCGACATTACTTTTTCTTAAAAATTTCTCCTGAAGACTGGGTACCAATAAAACAAATATGCAACTGGCCATTAGCCAAGCTCCCTCTTCACATTAGTCATACCTTTGTTAGGTTTTATTTGCTAATATTTAAAACTTTGGACCCTATTTAAATTTTGCAATAATGCCTGACCTAAGATAAAACCGCACCAGATATTCACAAGTGTTAGGCAGATCAAGGAAATTAAACCTTTGATAAAAGCAAGCGTAAAAGGAAAGTGGTAATAGGCAAGACCAATCGAATTAAAATCGTATCTAATTTGTTGTGTATTTGTATATTAAATTCACTGCTGCAAGCTGATTCTGTCTGTTAGTTATGTTTTAACCATTAATCGTTTTTACTATAAAGTAGGAACTTCTGCCTGTTGTCAACTTTCATTCTGTACTGTGTAATCTCAAAAACGCAATTCAAATGCTGTGGAAAACAATTCGGTTAAAAATCATCAAGTAAACACATTCAGATTTTGCTAACTATAATTAAAGGTAATGTATTGTATATCAGTTTTATAAGTTTGTCTAATTGTGTGAAACAAGTAAACAAAACCATAAACGTAACAAGTTTTTGATTTGCGCCTTTTGACTTTGCCTAAACCGCATATAATTTTAGCTCCCGACATTTTGTTTACTGAAGCTGAGCGAGAAAACATAAAACCCTTTCTCCAAAAACATTTAACATAAACTGGTTAACTGTACAAATTACTATATGCTTTTCAACCTTGTTTCATCGCCTCCCTCTTCCAAAACTCTGAACAAATTCCCTATGCTTCCATCTATGACTTCCGCGGTTCTTACCTCTTAAATTCATTATTTTTTCGACTTTTGCCAAACTAACAATTTGTAGCAATCGCTGCACTAAATGTTTGCGTAATATTAGTTTTCTTTTCGGATCGCTTCCTATCTTCATTTTCCTTATGTTTTTCTCTAACAACCCTGTGTCTGTGTATCTGAACAGAAGCGTTATCGACCAAGGCGGAACGCAAGTAAATGTGTGGATCTGGATAAAAGGTTCTGGGTTCGAATAAACTACTCATGTATCAAACAATGCTGATATGTTTCTGTTCATGTCGTATATGTTGCGTATGTGGTACAGTAACTCAAAACTATTTCTGTCTTCCCTCTACCGAGACTTGATTGTATTTCGTGTTTAACTCTCTGACTGCATTCCATGTTGAATCGATATTTCTCTAATAATTTGCTGCGTTCTCGTCGACACATTAATGTATAGTTATAGCTACAATTACATTTAGTACATACACATACATATATATCTGATTTCCTTCTAACTCTAAAAGTAGCACATATGCAAGCCTGCGTGGGTTATGCCGCCTATTGCCCCACATGCATGGCTCACATGCTTCTCTTGTATATATGTAATTCCCGATTAGTCTTCGATTTATGATTCACTTAACATGTTGGTAAAATCTCTTGTTCAACTTAAAACTGTTGGCTTTTGTAAGACTCACTAAGTCATGCAATTCTGGTATTTTGATTACTTTATCCTGCGCTTCGGCGGAACAAGATCACATTGAGTACGACAGTTTGACTTGGCCCAATGCAACACCTAGGAGGCTTCTTTGATTTGCCTTTTCGTTAGCAGGCTTTCGACTTTCAATATCGGATTTTAATTACGTTGTAAATTAATAGTAAGTTATGTCCCTACTTGGTAAAGTAATACTTTTTAGTGTACTGTTCGTCAATGCAACTGTCTACTCTGCGCATCTGTCTCCTCTCCGTCACCATCACGTTTTTCGTTTTTACTGTAATATTACTGTTATCTGAATTAAATGTATATTCGTAATAGGTATTTGTATTTTGTATTCGGTATTAGTTCTATTAATTCATATGCTGCTCGGTGTCGTGTTCATTATCAAGGTAAACACGCAATAGTGCCATTGTATCTATATTATCGTTGGGCTAAATATTTGATTACTCTTTGAACGCTGCATACCAACGAACAGAATGGACACCGTCCAGACTCGCGTCTCAAACCTTTGCTGTTTGCTGTTTGCTTTTTGCTGATTGTTTAGTTGAAGTGGTTCGTGTGTGGGTGTGCAATTGCTCTTGTTGTACGGTTGTACGCAGTTGTAGAGTTAAGTTCGCTAAATACTTTTATGAAATTTTGATTTGTCAAGAGTTTTCATTTGAAATTCTAGCAGTCGTGTGGGTCTGATATAGACGTATATCATCATATCGCTTTGCCTTGCTTCGATGCGCTAACAAAACGTGTATATAGTGTATATATAAGTAGTAGACATAGACATAGAGTATATGTAAGTATGATAAATAAGTTTAAGGTTAAGATAGCTAGTTACAGTATATATATGAAACGCTAGGGTTGGCTGAAAAACGTTAAGGTAAGCTTTCTGTGTTACATGGAAAATGTATGTAGGTAGGCGTTGTCCACAAATTCTAGTGAGCTGATTTAAACACTGTTCTTCAGTCGTACTCTTTTTGCCATTTTGTTCATACTGTTCATACTGTTCATACTGTTCATACTGTTCATACTGTTCATACTTTACTGCCTGCACGATGGTTTGATAACTGTAAATATAGTACTTCAATAAATTTTACATTTTACAATATTTTACTGTTGCTTTTCGTACACGTTTTTCGTTTAAATATATTCATTTAATTTTTACCATTTTCTTGTGGATTTTGTATTGTGATTTACTTGTTTCCTTTTTGTTTGTTTTTGTTTTTGTTTTCGTTTTTGTTTTAATTTTAAATTACGATCACTGCTACTCATTCTTACGAACTAAATACATATCATGTAAGTTACAATTAGTGATTTTTTAACCATTTTGTGTTTTCTCTCTTCATCAATTTTTTCCATTTTCTTTGTTCTCTTGCTCAAACGCATAAATAATTTCACTTTCTAAATATATATAAACCTTCATATTTGTCTGTACTTGTTCGTTTGCGTGTGTGTTACAGTGTGTGTATCGCGTGTGTGTGTTGTTCTTGGGTGTTGTCCGTTTTGAGGTCCTTGTAAAATTATCAAAAAATCATTCAGTTTAGTTGCTAAAACATGTATATGTCTTTCGTTATCAGTATGTCTATGATTAAATACATTTACCTTCTGTTTTGATTTCTTCTTTAAGATTATACTTTTAGCTTAAAATTTGTTTAATTTCCTGTTTCATGGTTTGTTCAATACATACTTATTCATATGTATATTTGATCGTTTGTGTATAATTTGCGCTAGCTTAACAACATTTACAATACATACACACAAATGGTTTACGTACGCGTTGATTTAACTGCCTTTAAAATTATTATTCTCCCGTTATTCTAAACAAACGGACGTGCCAAAGATATATCTTCGCAATGTCCAAGTTCTCCATTTATTTAGGTTTATTAAATTTAATACATTCTTCTTAAACTTCATTTAACGTTATTTCAAATCGCCTCACTTCACTTCAATGGGCTTGGGATTCGGTAAGCTATTTGGGACTGTCTCTCTAAATACTTCCTTAATCTAGCAAAATTAAAACATTTACGAGCTACGCGTATGCTGTTGTTTTAATCAAAGTTGCATACTTGTATAAAATTGAAGTAAGGTTGCGTTAATTCAAAATTTAATAACAGCATCATGTACATAATAAAACTTTGCCTTCATTCATTTTAACATAATTTCTCTCTTCAGTTTGTTCTTAACTTTCTGTCGTTTTTTAAAACCAAAACACAGTAAAGTGCAATTAAAATATTTCTAAGATAAGATACTCCTCTCTTGCCTTTAAACGTACATTTCTTCTCTTCTCTATTAAATATATATGTTTTGTGTTCTTTTAGTTTTGTTTTTGTTATGCAATGCAATTTCCTTAAGAACTATATATTTAAATTTAAGCTTATGTTACGACGTTGCTGATTGTTTAGTGGGTTTGTTTTGTTTGCTTTTTTTTTTTGTTTTGTTGTCTGCATGTGTCATAAGTTGAAATTGTATGTTTTTGGGTTAATTTCAAGTTTTATTTATTTTTTAGTTGACTTTTTGTTTATCAATATAGTAAGATCCCTCTTTTGTTTTTGTCCTGTGCCACCGTAGGGGTGGGGTATAAAACAGAAACAATTCCTAGAGTGAGTTGCTCTGATTAAAATTGGTATAGCTCATGCATCGATTGTTGCCGCTGGTTGTGTTTGATTGGGTGGGTGGTGCTTCTGGCATCTGCCTTCTCAGTAAAAGTTAGCGTGCATTCGTCTTGTACTACGGAGTATAGTTTGTATCTGTTGCTGCCAATAGACCTGTAGGTGTTGTTGCATATAGCTGTACCCGCCGAAGGCACCCAGTCAGGTTCAGTAAACCTGACTTCGGATCGAATTCTAGATGTTGGACTTGGAGAAGCTAACGCGCAGATGGTTCGACTCAGACAGTTGGTGGTTGTGCATCTTAATCAGTGCTAGAACGGCCTCCTCTACGGACGACAGCTGCAGCAGCGCCATTTTGCGGTCCTTCCTGTATCACCAAAAACGTTTGTCATTAGTATCATTATCATACAGTAAGAAAAAACTGGCAATTGTTTGGGCCGCCATTACTTACGGGAAAAATTTGAATGCTTTGACTTCGAAGGTGTTTGAGGTGAAGGCTTCTTTGATGTCATCCTCAGAGCAGGACGAGCTGTGGGGTGGGAGAAAAGGTATGAGTTGGGCTTAGAATAAGAGTCATCGATTTCAGGAAGCGTGGGTGCGAGGCAGTACCCGCTGTGTGGCTGGTTCATTGATACCTCCTGGCAGGCGCTCCAAGGGTGCTCTGCCTGAGGGGCTATTGGCTCGACTCATAAATTCGCACAGCGGAGGGCAGACACCGTCTTCCTTCCGACGTAAGAATCCCGCCCGGCGGGGTGCTTTGTCATATTTGGCAGACGAGGCTGCCACGCGGGGTTTTTGCTGCTCATGGCGGTAATTGTAATTGCCTTGTCGTGTCGAACCGAGCCATCCCCCAGCATCCATGAAACGCCACCAACTAAGCCTGCTCGTTTGCCTGCCCCCCCTTAAGGCAGAGAAGGTGAGAGGCCATAGTCTGTTGAATACTTACGGAATGTTGCTTAAATGCAGTGTCGCTGACGGCGGATAGATGTTCTGGTAGTTCTTGCTGCCTGGCTTCTTGAAGCGGTGCAACGGATTCTGCGAGTAGTCACGTGTGAGACCCGCGTCTGGCTGTCCCTCCTTTGGCAGCTGTACGGCCTGGTGTTTGCTGGCCATCACACGTATCGGCTTGCCCCATAAACGTAATTTATCAAGGTGAGACATGGCTGTGGACCAGAAAGTTACACATTAAAATGGGTACACGAGGAAAAGTTTTTCGTTTGCTAGATAAATATAATGATAAGGGTGAGAAGTGTGTAGGTAGTTGCATGTCAATAATTGTATTTGTGAAAAGTGTTTGTCCCTGAGCCCCAGAAAGAGAAGCGGATATAAAAATTATTATTAATTTTATTTATGAATACCCAAAGAGGATAGGGCCAGGAAAATCTCTTCCTGATTATGCTTCCACTTCACAATTTAATTTCAATAACATTGTAGGACGACCCTTTCTCCTTCAGTGTAGCCAAGGACCCTAGTCGGTAGCTGTCGAAGGCGAACAAAGTCAGCAATAAGTGCAGGCAAATATTTACATTCAGCAATGTAACTGCAACTTTATCAATGTCGTCTGCCTTTGGAGATTTATTTGAACTGAAATGCTTGTTTGGCCGTAAAAGTATTAAAAGTATAAAGTTCGCCATCTTCGTTGCGTCTTCTGTCGCCTCCCCTCGGAAAGTTGCAACGGGCTGTGCCTTATTTCTCATATTCTCGACTGTCATAACACCTGCGGCTCAGACGGAATGCATGTGCAACGGAGAGCTGTACTTAGGTACAATTCAATTTCCATTTCCATTTCGATTTCAGGTTCGATTACGATTTATTTAATTTCAGTTCCTGCCAAGTCATTCAACGGCTTAGGCCAGGGCCAGTGCCTACGGAAAATACGAACTTTTCCCAACTCTCATGTATTCCATTAATAAATTATATCACACTTTATCACTGCTCCTCTGTTTTATTGTGAAGCAATATGCTTACTCAGCCGTTTATTGTTTGCCTAATGGATTAAGTGATTTTCAAAAAAAACCAAAGGCGCAGGAATGTAATAAATTGTAAAATAAAAGGGGCGCCAGCAGTGACAAAGCCAGCCTCAGCTCATATGCCCTAAACATCCATTTTTTCTGTACTCGACGTTCTGTATGACAAAACACTTGTAATAAAGATTAATGTGCAGGAGGGACACTTTTCGAAAAAGAACAGGGACGAGCCCTAACTTTGCCTACCACTTCTGAAGGGCTGCAGCTGGCCCTGGGACCGGGCTCAAAAAGTATCTTAAACTTTTAATTACGAGGCTAAGGCTGCTGACCAACATCAGCGGCAACAACAAATCATTATTAACTAACAAAAACAAGCAGCAAGAAACAGGAAATGAGGAGCACGAACAGTAAGTAAAATGACTCGGCGATGAGGCTTTGAGGGTCTGCCCTTGTTTTATGCATGAAGTTCTGGGTTTAAGACTTTTAAACACCATACACTTGGGACCAACCCCACTCAGAAAATGTTTGCCCAGAAGCGGAAGAAGCGAAGATGGGGCAACTGTGGCTCAGGTGAGCCCGCATCCGGAGCAACGGATGGTTCACTACCCCTTACCGGTAAACTACAAGTTAGTTGTAACTTTCATGATTTGAACGATTAATGTCCAGCAATTCCTTGACTATGATCTACGGCCGCACGGCCAGACACTTTATTATCTCTGGCTCACAAACTATGCAAAACATCCTCTGCCCAGTCTTCTCCCATCTCCGTAATTAATAGTGGCCCACAGAGGGCCGGGCGCCAAGTCATTCAAACAGTCACTTAGCATTGTCAACCCAGGTCGAAGGAAACTTTCACCGAACTCGACTTCTGTATTTCAAAGCACACGCACACATGGCGTATGCGTAATCGACCGTAACACAAATGGCTAAGAAATGCGGCCAGTTCATGTGAGTGTGCGAGTGAGTGTTTGTTTGCTTTTATTGCAAATGCCTTTATGCGAGCGCTTATGCAAAATATTTTGTAGTAATTTGTACGGCAAACAGCAAATTTATTTGCGAACAAAAGAGGGAAGTGGGATGTTCCCCAGTCGACAGCTGGGAGTGCGCCAATAAATTTGGCCGCATTTGCGTGTGTGTCTGCCCATAGTTGGCAATAAGTTGTGCAAAACTTAATCCCGCCCAGCTACTATCTAACAAATGCTCCATTCTAACATCCCTGGTACCCAAACACCTAGAACTGCCCACCACGTAGGCGCAGCTGTGGGTGGTGGCAGCTTATTGTTTTTTCATGGTGTGTTTTTCTTCATTTCGTTTTCTTTTCTCCCCTTCCTGCCTCCTGATTGCTGTCGTAGTTATTTGTGTCGAGTTGTTCAGTGTCCGCTCCGTTTTGATTCTCATCGCCTTTCCCCCCGTCCTTCCACTTGCAAATTTTTTGCGCCTTTACGCTGTAATTCGTATGCTGAGTGAACAATTGTAGCCGTATTTTGTATGTGGTCCTCGCCATAACGCACACCACCTTGCGAGACACTTTCGTATGCACAGGGTGAGTTGGGTGACCCCGGGCAGCTGCTGCTTCCTGCTCCTTGTTTGGTAATCGTCTTTGTTTGTTGGCGAGAGTTTTGGGCAAAGTAACGAATGAATTTGTTAATATTTTATGAGTGCATAAGTGCGCACTCCCGTCCCAAGCTCTGGTTCCATTTCAGACCTGTTCTTGCTATCTGGTGTACAGGTAGGTGGATACACTTGGCAAAAAAATGGAAACTCATTGTGAAAAATAATTGTTCATAGCATTTCCAAACTGGATAGAGCTTAAAAGGAAACCTCAATGCGACTGATTTTATTTAGATGTCAAATAAAATGTCTTTCTTTTGGAACAAATACATTTTTCCCATAGTGTAAATGGGTTGAAACATAGCCAAGGGCAGCAGCGGAAGTGTTTGCCATTTGGCTGCCCTTGCGGCACATTAGTAGTCTATATGCTGCAGCATGCCCATTAATATTTTCACTTGCCCGGGGCCGTTGGCTCGCATTTCTGTGTTTGAGCGGGGACACGGAATGGGCTGTGGAGGACGGAAAGGATGCCTACTTCCTAGTTTGGGACAATAATTTGCTTGTTTGGTCACACAGTTGACTGGCTTTGGTTTCGTCGGTTTATTTGCGTGAAATCGGCACAATAGTTTTATCAACTGCAGCCAGTGGTGGAGTTTTGTGGTCCCCGAAATGCTGTCAATTTTTGGACGAATTCAATTAACGCAGCATTACGTTGACGAAACGAATTCGGACAGCTGCTGATGCTGCTGATGCTGCCGGCAAATGAGCACAAAGGAAAATTAACTGAAATTGGGCCATGCATTTTGAAGCGTTCCTGCTGATTAGCTCTTCTGCTCCTTTTCCCCACTTCCCTCCTGGCTTAACCCAATTAATTAAGTAGGAAAATCTCAAAGCGGGAATGCTACAAAGCTGCGCGCTGAAGAATGCAAGGCGCACCGCACGCCAAAGCGGCACCGAATTCTGGAAATATGTATGTTTACATAATTATAATTAAAAAATTAATTGACTGCAGCACAAAGCATATTTCCACGAAGGGAAAGCGGCGACAAGCTGGCGAAAATAGTTGGCGGTCGAGGGACGGATGTGCGGATGCGACTGCGGATATTTGGTTTGTGGGTTCGCGGATACCCTCGGGGCATTGCATATTTGTGCACCTGTGTGTCTGCTGGGCTGGCATACACTTATTTTATTTTTATTTTATTTAAATCAATAAACAGTCGATGGCATTCATTATGCCGCAGCTTACGCTTTTTCAGGCGCGCAATTTGCAGGCAATTTCCGTAGCGATCTCACTTTGCATTTATGGAACAGATTAAATTCATTTAAACTTTATTAAGAACAGCAGCAGGCGCTACCTCTGCGAATGGCATGGAATCGTGACGGAAAATATAATTGATAAATTACATGTGCAAACGATTAACGCCCTGATGGCATTCAGCATGATTTCCATCTCCATCACATTTCATCTCCATTCACCGGACGTAAAGAGCTAATAAAATATACGGCTTATACTGGCCGTAGTCAGGAATTAGCCTTTAATAAATATAGGGATTGTGGAACTTGTCTGTCGTAAGAACTCCGCACAAATATGAAGTACCTGTGCCTTCGCACAAACAAATTTATGTACAAAGCCTTTAGAGCAAGGCTTAAAATGTGGATAAATTTGCATATGCACAGCACCCACTGCAGTTTCCTTACGAGCTCAAAGGCAAGGACAACAGCCAGGAATTTTCCCATTGAGGTCCTTTTCAATTAAGCGCCTCCCTGCAGGGCCGCAGCACTTTGGCAGCTTTTGAGTTATTTTTCCAATGAATAAATAACACAAATGAAAGACAGCGACGGACGCACCGCTGTGTGGGAACAATGAGAGCTGACCGTAGTAAAACAGGGCGGTAAACGTAGACTGGGAGGGGCTCGCAGGATAGTTGGCGTGTTAAATGGAATAAAACCAAATCGAAATGGAAAAAGGTGTCGCTGTCAGCGCTGTCAACGCTTCGATCGCTTTGCCTGTGCCGCCGCTCCTGTTTTTGTAATAAAGTGGAATTTGGCACGTCGGTTGGTTGCTCTTAACGCGTCGCAATGCGCGACAATTTTCATTTCGTTTAATGCGTGCAGGGGGTCGGATTGGATGGGGCTCCGGATGGGGTAGTCCTTGGCCGCCGGCAAGGCGGGCAGCCTGACAATGGCAAAGTGCACACAAATAAATGCAATGAAATGATTGGCATGTCCCGCTGAGCAAGAGGAGCCTTTGTTGCCTGGCGGGTGAGAACTGGATCTCGACCAGGTGTTGCTGCTGTCCGGGCGGACTGGTAATAAAGCGCTTATAAAATTCCATTTATGCGCACGGCCAGCCATTTCTCTCTCTTTGCCCTGTTGCCGTCTCTTTCGCTTTAACAATTTTTATTATTAATACATTTTGTTTGCTGCATTTGCAGCTGCACAACCAACGGCAGCGATGGTTACGGTTGCCAAAGGAATGCGCCGTTTGGAATTTCATGTTGCCGGAATTTTCATTTTAAACAAGCTGCAAATTGCAGTTGCTCTTTTTTCGCCCCGGTCCTCAGCTTATGGATCGACACTCAGATTTTTCATTACTTTCATTTCGTGGTGTTTCGATGTGGCTGGGCTGGGGCTGGGGCTGGGTGCAGGTGAGAGTGCGTTGTAGATAGTAGGTGTGTTCGTCGGTTAGTGGGGTGAAAGTGAGTCTGCTTGACTTACCCAAATAGGCTTGCTGGGGCTCCGCCATCTGTATGAGTGCCGAGTCCTTCTTGTTGTACAGAATCTTTACACGTTGCACATCGCCGTATACACCTGCGGATGGTAAAAGTTGAGTATTATAAAAATATATTTGGGGGAATACTAGGAACAGGAGCATTAGCAAAAGGTCGTCGACTACCATGTTAGTTATATAAGTGTAGCGGCACGAATGATGAGCGGGCCAACTAAAACTAAAGCACTCTGTTGTTGCTCGAGAAACTGTGGGCCATTTCCCTGGCTTAAAATTGCTCACTTAAAATACGAACAATAAATAGTTTTTTGTCCCTATTTCCACGATAGTGTCACTGAATTCAAATGAATTTGTAAGAACTCTAGGATACCTTTATTCCGAGACTATCTCTTATCTCAAAGTAAGTGAGTTTTCCTTTTCTCGGTGGCTGCTTGTATTTGGAGAGATCCAAGCGGTTGATGGCCGCGGAAAACTTTTACACCCCACCAAAAAGCCATAACATGCACACGAGATAGCTTCGGTCACTATCCTTTTCTCTCCATGCATTTTTATCCACCGCCCAGCCACTCGCATTATTGCCACGGGCCACGCCGTTAGTATCATGTACGAAACTCATAACTGGCTCAATAAGTTTTCTCTGCTATTTTTTACGAGTTTCAATTCGAGCGCTGCAGCTCCTCCGCTGGCTCGGCCGGCTTGGCTTTCTTGGCCGCATTCCGTTTTAAGGCCGTGGGTTTTACAGCTGTCAGACAAGGTGTGCTGGCGTGGAACTTTTTGGTGGTGGCGGGCGCGTTATTGAATTGCATTTTATGGCTTTACTTACGCCGCAAACTATGCAATATAAGGTGGACTGAGACCCATCTGCTGGACTGCATTAAGACTGCCAGATGACTTTAAGAAATCTGTTTGGCTTTTTTCTGGGCAGGGACTTTGCTTTGACAGCTGGCTGAGGGTCGGTCCATTGGCCCTGGGTGACTTATTTCAGTCAACCTCCCCGAAACCCACCCAATGTGCAGCCAATCAGCGCAAATTTAGAGAAGGGCGCAAATTGCCATCAAGCATAAAAAATAGTTGCCGGTCGAGTTGGTGGCCAAAGGGCAATGGCAATGCTACTGGCGAAGGCGACCCCAAAGCAAACAATGTAAAGTGCAGCCCTGCCCAAGACAACAAATCGAATAATGCGCAAAGTAAATTTTCAACTACTTTCAGCCACACAAACGTGCACAAAAAAGGGAAGGTACACTTTGCAAAATTCCCTTTTCTATTTCTTTTCTCACTTCTCCATTTTTAAGAAATTAAATTTCTAAATCTTCCGCAAATGACAAACTGGAGAGAATACAAAGCAATCCTTTAAGCTTTCTCCCAGTGTAAGAACTTAGGAAGCAACAGCGGCTATAAAAGTGTGGGCCATGCCAGCTTCTCGGAGCGTAGCGAAGCGAGCGCAGCGCTAACAAGTTACAAAAGTAGCAATGGAAATGCAGGTAGTAAATAGTGGTGCCCAAGGAGGAGCTCGCAGGACAGAGCACACAGTTCAACAGTTGGCAGTAAATCCATTTTACACAGACGACTGGTTGCCTGACTGACTGCCTTGGTTTCCAGTTATCCGGCGGACTTGACTTATGCCAAACACCGAACAATTTCGTTTTTGCTAGGAATCCGGGGCAACAATTGCAGGCGAGGCCAGCAGCAGCAGACATCGACATACACATCTGCAGGTATTGGCAGTGGAGTATATTGAGTGCCAGGCATGCCCCGTCCTTCTCCAGTCACCAGCATAACTCGGCGTGCAACGGGGCGTATGAGCAGCAGCTGCCGAGCTGCTGAGCTGCCGGTTACCCGGTTGCCATGCAAAGTGCGCACAGCCCAGCAGCCTCAATCTTTATTCGAATTCCCAGCTCCGACCGACAGACTTGATAATAATTTATTATCGCCTGAATTTTCCTCCGAAAGTTTTTCGCTTTTTTGTGGCTTCGCGACACTAACGTATGCAGACAGCGAAGCCGATTCCCCGGCGGCCCATTAGTCGTGTGTTTGAGCATATTCTAGATGAAGAATTATGCGGATGGCGGTGGCATATTAGCCTGGGAGTCTATAAAGTTGAAACGGCCTTCTAATTTCCCCTTCCTTCCCTGTATCCATTATCGTCGGTGTCAAAAGCCAAACGGATATTCGAATTGAAAGCGATGGCGTCTATTTAATCACATTCCCTCGAAAGCCTGTCATATTGCGCGTTTCGCTGGTGAAGCAATTTGTTGCGATTATGAAAAATTTATTGAAATTATTTGCACATTAGATTTAATTTGTCGTGTTTTGGGCACTTTATCAAATTGCATTTCTGCCACAAAATGTAGCGCATCAAATTTTATGAAATTATTCCACGCATACTCGTATGTAGTAACAATGAACCCAAAGTACACAAAGAGGGAACATCACGCAGTAATACGCCGGATCTCTAAACGCATAAAAATTCAATTAAACACGTTTCGACAGTATTTTCGGCAATGATATAAATTTTTATCACGCCATTACAATTACATAAGCGGATTACGCGGCATATTTGCGAGTGTTTGGACGTTAGGGCTGTTTTCCCAGACAATTTTCAGACTGATTAAGTTTTCTTTTATTGTTATGCAAAGGCAACCTAATCCCAGCCCCCAAAGCAAGGCAATCGAATGTGGGTCGGCAAGGCGATTTCCGGCCGAGGTGGGCATAGGACGGTATTGAATGCTTGACAGACTAAGCGGCATGTGTCAAGTGCCTAAAGAGCATGCCCCAGAGAGCCTTTGGGCCCATTCAATTGGGTCTTCGCCTAGGCGAAGCCAAAGCGAACAAAGCGCTGTCAGAACTAATAAAATGTTTGACTGGCTGTCACCCGAAAGGGTTTTGGGAAAAGTTTTCCGTGCTTTCGGCCTTTTTGTTGGGCCGCTTTCTGTTGTTTTTCGACTAGACTCCCGCGTTTGAAGTGCTTTGTTTGTCCACAGCTCCTGAGCTGAGTTTGTCACTTTTATTATTTGATATGCAAACAGCTCTCAAATGTACGCATGCAGCGAACCGCAGCCTCGTCATGCCTTCGGCTACTCCCCGAGACCCTTTGAAGTGCTAAATTCGCCACCCAAGCCTGGCCCGCAGCGCCTTTGCTCCCACCTTATGTCGAAATCGTTGTTACGTGTCCTTACGTGTTGCCATTAACATAACAAAAGCAACCGTTTGGCATTTGACGGTTGACGTTTGCCATTCGCTTGCCAGTTGGATACACTGATCAAACTTATTGGAAGTTTGTGCTTCCCCGTTCATCGTTCTCTTACATTTTTAAAACTGACATCTATTTTAAATTTAAGAAAGACAAGGATGATATTTTAATAAAAGGATTTGGCCTGAAGAGTATAACAGTAGCAATAGGTTTGATCACATGAATACAACGTTTAATAACTTGTGACAAGCCCAAGTAGCATCCTTATAACTCTTTAGAGTTTCTGGTCTGGTGCCTTTGTTTGTAGTGCAGCTTCTAGCTCTTTTAACTGTCACTGACGGTGCTTCTGTCTGTCCGCTGTCTGCTTAGAGCTACTTGGAAATTCAAAGGTTATTACATAACATTTTAGCCTGCCATTTGGCTGATTGCCCGTCGAGTCTCTGACCGTCAATTACACGCTGGCTGCTTGCCTGGCTCCCTGGAAAGCGGGCGAGTTTATCTAAATCTATTGGCACCCCAGTAATAATACGCTTAACGTTCGACTTATCGACATCTCTCCATCTCGGCTGTGCAACGAGGCGTATGGGTATTCAACTTTTATACTTCGCTCTGGGCTGAGCTCTTCGGAGCGTTTAATCAGCAATCTAAGCTTTATTAGCAGTGCAGCAGCTGCCAACCGGCGCAAGAGCAGGACTTGTAACTTTAGCTGCAACAGCACTCTGCTGATCGGATTTTCCCGGCTCAGTGGCTTAAAGTTTCCCCGGAGGTGGTGGCTGTGCGGTGCCCTGTGGTTTACGCTGCAGAAATCCGGCAACAAGAACGCCAGGACAGAAAAGAAACAATTTTTAAGCAATTAATACGTTTGCCAACATTTCTGTTTACTTTGAACGATAAGCCCTGAACTGCTGACAGAATGGATGCAATTTGTAAATATAAATCAAAGGCAGTGGCAGAGCACCGCACAACACACAAGGGTTAAGTTCCGGGCAAGCAAGCGGCTTAACTCCCTGTTGCCTGGAATTCTCCGTGCGGTTGCGTTTGTTTGGCAGAAGTTTATATTTGGGTATTTAAACTCGAATTAAATGCATTTGCATGTAAACAAAGGGGAAGCCCTGTGTGTGGCCGCAAACAAACCGTTTTGTGTCATCAGAGACAAAAGGGAGAAACCGACTCTTGTTGTTGCACTGCACTCTTGCAAAAAATTCACCAGACACTGAATCACCATTGAAGGGAAGAAGGAGCGGCTGCTGCATGCGGCATGCGGCAGGAGGTATTGTGGCAACAAAATCCATTATGCTGCAATTATGCGCCACACTTGGCAGAGTGCTCGTAGGACCGGACAAAAACTTGCTCAATCGATGTGTTTTGGTAATTAAATCAAGTACATAATGGAACAAGCCAAATAGAGAAATGTGGCGCAAGTGAAAAGTCAACTGGGAATCCCATAAAATAATAAAACACACGCACGGTACTGGGGGAAGTTCGGAGAGCAATTCAAACAGCAAACCCCATTAACTTTACAAAGTTAGTTAAATTCATTTGGCAAACAGACGACAGACGACGAAAAACCAGCTAGGAGACAATCCCCTCTTATATTCCAGAATCCAACCAACCAACCAACCAACCGACCGGCTAACCGAGCCAACAAGCTACGAAAGTCACAAGTAAATTTTATTTCAATTGTAAGAGCCAGCAAAAACTCCACAATGATCGTTGCTGTGTGTGGTATAAGAGGTATATATTTATATATGTATGTTCCGGACCTGGGGAGCGGTATGTAAGAAACCACACACACGCACTGAGAAACAAAAAGCAGTTTCTTAGTCCTGTGAGTCTGCTAGAAAATAATTAAAACACCGAGTGGCCCGGTTTAAAGCTTCGTGTAAGTGGACCAAACTTAATAAAATTTGATTTAATATTTGAAGTTTGAAATGTATGTTAAATGTTAATTTTTAAAATAACTGACCATTTGAAATATAGGGGTGTCCTAAGAAATGTCAAGATGTGCAAAATTAAATAATTTCTCCCTGTGCAGACACACGAAAGAAAGGCAGCCAAAGCAACAATGGGCGACAGCAACAAGCGCAATGATAACTAAATAAATGGACATTTTTATAGCTATGCACTTCCGCACTCAATCTTTTGTGCTGCCTGTGTGTTAGTGGGTGCTGGAGCTTGTGTGTGCTAGTGTGTGGCAGGATGAGCACATGTTAAAGCATGTGTTTTGTGCATGCATTTTAGCTCTTAGCTCAGAGGCGCTCGCTCTTCTCACCCCCCTCTGGCCCTGTGTCCTGGGCCTTAACAATGGAAACCAGCCACGAGCACACTTAATTCATGTAATTTCACACACACACACGAACGCACAAGAAGACAACGGAGGAGCAACAGGATGCACACGTTGTGGTGTTGCCACTGCACCACCGCTCCCGCTTGAGTGCGGTTTCACTTGTTGCCAGTTGATGCTGCTGTGTTTTTAATATATTTGCAGGACGTCGAGTGTATTCTCATTTTCATTGTTTTACAATTTGTAAGCAGAACTTATGACAGGATAAATAACAGAAGGACAAGACTGCATGCCCAAGAACGTTTTCCATTTCTGTTTCAAGCTGTCTGATGGATTTGCCGCTGCTGCTGGCAAAAAGCTATTAGAAAGCCATTTGTTGCCGGCTTTAGCCGGTTTATTCCATTTGGAAAAACAATAAATATTGCTACTGGCACACGGAAAAAGTGCATAGCACCTTCTCTTTATTTAAATGGGTTTTATAGCCCGATCGGGATGCTCTAAATTTATTTACTTCTTTCGCAGGGACTATTGGCTTTTGCCTTCTCTGGAATGTGATCGCTTTGAGCTAGGAGTGGATTTCAGCTACGAGGTCCAGGCATTTTACTGCTTTGGGTTGATGGCTCCGTTTTTTATTTCCCACATGGCAGATGCATTTTATGTGCAAAGAGCCATACGCCCGTTGCATACCAAAATGTTTGTATGGCCCCCTCCTATTTTTTAAGGCTTTTTCAATATTTTAAGCAGTTTGTGTCGCATTTTTGTCAGCTATTGCTTTGTTAACCCGCCCCACCCCACTGGCGCCAACACTTATAAGAGTATAACTAATTCATGGCACTTTTGCTGATTGCACGTAAATGGCGAAAATGGCAACCGGAAGCGTGGATAAAAGAAAAACTGAAAGAAAAACTAGAAGCAAAGGCTAAAGCGTTGGCCGCGCTCGATTCCTACAGTGCAAATTCAATGAATAATCAAGTAAACTACTTATAAATTGTTCAACAAAAGTACACTTTATGAGGCACACGTTGGGTCCGGACCAAGCTAGACAGGACAATAGGTATTCGTGTTTACTTCAGGGGAGAGAGATAGAGCAGGAGTCGTATAGCGATAGAGACAGAGATGATCTACTAATGGAGATGTGTCCATAAAGGAATGCATTTCTGCATCTCTCCCACAAGGTCATCTTCTAGCTGGGCCCGGACAACAAACAAATAAAATCGGAAAAGCTCGTAATTAATAGAGTAATCGTTTGTGCAGACGTACCAAAGAGGGTAAAGAGAGCATCAGGCGTGACCATCTACAGAGAAAAAGAGAAAATAGAGTTTGTCGTCAGTTAGCGAGAGTTTTGTTTAGATGTATTACAAATAATAAAAACAAGTATAAGTTAAACAGGAAATTAACAAGTTAAATCATAGAGCATGATGAATTTGAAGAACTTGTATCGGAGTCAGGCTGGGACGGACAGATTAGATAGGTCCCAGTCCTAACAACAAAACTACGTATACGAATTTTTAAATATGAAAATACTTGTGTGAATGGTGAGAGTTTACGCCATTTAATTAATGTTTGAAAATACGTAAACGTAAACGTAAAATTTGGAAACAGAAATTATAGAAAAGGATCGACGTACACGGAATACAAACTAACTTTATACCTTACTTTAGCTTATACATATCTTAAAAAACTAGGTGATAAATTTTATTAATATAAAAACTCAATTTGATTTACTGCTGCTTTTACTACCCCTTGACGGACCTTATTATCTCGGAACGCACTTACCTCCTCATTTAAATTCGAGACAAGCAGAACATTCGAGTAGCCCCGCATGGCGGGAGCGGCCGTCTGCAGGGCCCCACTGTTGGCCAGCGAGAAGGCGGCCAAGTTGGGCAGGGCATTACTGTAGCCGCCGGCCAGCGGAGTGCCCAGGCCCAAAGCGAAGGGTGGTAAGACTCCTGGGGCGCCTAGGCCGTTGACTGAAAGAAAATTAGACAAGAGTTAGCAATCTGTTAGTGTCGAGAGCTTTCGATTATTTGCATGCCACTTAAGCTCAATATGAATCGATAGCAGGTGTAAAGGCAAAAAAGATTCAAACAAGGAATTGCATACTAAATTTTGCAATACTGAACGGCTGAGTAAGACACTCAAGACTAACGCCTTTTAATTAAATTAAGCTTTCAATTTTGAATAAAAGGTAAAGCTTCATTCAAAAAACTTTCAACTAATTTTCATCTTTGATAAAAATACTTGGAGGTGAAACAAATCAATAAAAGAGATTGAGTTTTATACAACTCAATCATTTTCGGAAATTCCCTCAGAAAACTTTAAAGTGGAGAAGGTTTCAAATTGTCAGGCATTTTGGTGGTTAGCAACATGAAGCTTAGCAAAAACATAAAGGAAAAATCGGGAAAATGTTCCGTTCGTGTTACCTATTTTATCACCTGTAAGAGAAGGCCGCTGACGGGCGGCGATCAACAGCAGATCATTAGTGTTCATCAACCCACCGGCGGTAGGCATTAGGTCTACGCCCGGTTCGCCCGGTGGCAGCGCGGGGTTCGTGAAGTCGCGTGACTTGTCGTTGTTGTACTTCACGTTCAGTGCCGTTAGCTTGCTGTTGTCGATGCGCAGCGTGCAGCAGCCGTTGTATATGTTCTGTCCGTCTAGGAGTGACTTGGCATGCTGGGCGGAGTTTGCGTCCGGATATTGAATCAGGGCCTTGAAAAAAGTTTACTTGTTATACGCAAATGACTTCATGACAACACTCAGGCTTACCTGGAATGAATTGTTCTTGGTAAAGGTGACAATCTTCAGCACCTTGCCATAGCGCTGGAAGATCTGGTGCAGTATGTCCAGCGAAACGGGGTACATCAGCGACTCGACGATCACGCGAAGCACCGTGTTGGGGCCGCCGGCGGAGTTCGTGTTGTTGCCGGCCGCATTCGCGCTGTTCAAGATGGCCACTGCAGTGCAGGTGTTTTCGGCGGAGCTGTTGGCATTGTTGCTGGTCGCATTAGCGGCGCAAAGGGGCAAGGGCGATCCGCCCGCCGGGGACTGGATGCGGTAGTCGCTCTGGACAACCGAGTTCTGTAAACAGAAGTTGTATGGAACGTGATAAAGATTTTGAGCCAATTTACTGACGGGGATCGCACAACGAAAACTTTTATTGGTTAAAGGCGCAAACTTTTGCGCATTAATCAAAGCGACTGCCAGTGCACAAAATTTATGCAGCATGGTAAGTTTTTGAAAATATATAAAAAAAAAGTAGATTGAAATTTAGTTAAACAAAGATCTTTACAGATGTCTTTAGTAATAAAGATATTTCAATAAAAACTTACACTACAAACTAACTTTTACTTCTTAGTGAACGAATATTGAAAGCGTTTACGGGGCACACGGCCAGACCTCCGCTTTTCGGGAATCGCTCCCGCCATCATAAATCTCAATCAAAATCAATAATATCAAGTATCGTAATAAAAAAAGAATGCGGGATGTGGGGAATAGAAAAGTCTGCTGTTGACGAGGATGGGCGGATGCTAGATACGGCTCTTAGTAAGCAAGAAAAATTTCTTGCGTGAAATATACACGTTCTATCGGAAAACAATTTAATGACATTCGGAAGTAAATTTATTCCTATTCGTGCTGAATTTTGATTTCGAAAATCATAACGTAAACACATTCGACCGCCCACCGCGACAGACCCACCTGCCCCCGATTTCCTCTTATTCTGCCCATTTGCGACGCGTTTTTTGTGAGCTTGTCAGCAACAGGAGAGACTAGGGGAGGAATGGGGTGGGAAAACTTCATGGCAATCTTCCCCAGGCGTGCTATTTGTTTCTGCCTTCGCCTAGATAAATTCCTTCCCATCGGAAACAAAGAGTCAGTCGACGTGAGCTCTGCCTTCGACCCTCTGCTCGAAGCCAAAGTTTGTAAAAATAATAAAAATTGATTAGAATTGCCGAGTACCGAGCTGCGTGGCTAGACAGGGCGTATGTGGGATGTGCCGAGTGGCATGAGTCGCCCATTATGATGCGGCTGCTTCATCTTCGATTGCCGTGCCGGCTCCAGATGCCTGTGGGATGCCAACAGTGGTTGCCGATGGATCTCCTTTCCGCTCTTAGTAATTTGATACTACACTTTGCCTGATTATTATGATGACGATGACGTTGATTGCGTAAAAATTGTAATGTAATTGTTGAGAAGCGTTTGCCCATCTACTACTTATTCTATCCTGATATATGTGTTGTGCTTGTTTAAACAGCAAAGTTGGTTAGCATTAACTAGGTGTCAAGTGGGCATTTGGCACGCGTTTGAGCATAGAATCAACTTCGTTAATTGCGAGAAAGTTGTCCCTGACAACTTAAGTAACCTACATGGCCAACCAGAGTTGCTTTTTATTCGATTTGTACGAGAGTTCAAATTCAGATAGTTAAGTTTCACAGGCAAACTATTCATTAACATATTTTTTACGCTCCTTTTGAATACTATTTCCCCCGAGTGCATTTATGGCCCATAATAATGGGCATTCACAGCTGGAGGCTCTGGGCCAAACCAAATTTCGGGAGCACTTGCACGCACATTAGGAGGCTAAGCCATTCTAATTATCCTGTAGGACGTAGGTCGGGAACTGAGAAAGGGGTTGGGCAAGTTTAGGGACCACAACACCAGCAACATCATTAAACATAACAAATCGTTGTGCGTGTGCGGCTGCGTTTGTATTGGACTTTGCTTGTCGCGGTTTTGCCTGTTAATGAGTCAATTGTGCGGTCCCCACCCCCGATTCTTGTTGTTTGCTGATTAGATATGCAAACACCCAATGCACCCATCGCAGGAAACATTCCCATTCCCACCGCATTGTTATAGTTTAATATGGATGTGCTGGCTGCTTCTTCACTTCTACTCCCTCCCCCACCCTTTGCCATATTGCCACATTTGATAAGCCAAAATGCCTCGATAAGCAAAATGTATCGACTACTTGCTGATAAGCAGATTTTTCGATCGATGTGTGTCAGTGACAAAAGGCCCACGTGTCCCCGGTTCTCGCTCATTTAACCAATGATATATGAAAACTGCAATAATAAAACTTTAACCATTCACAACCATTAACCGTTTATTTTACAACTATATACGTAACGAATAAAGTAAAGTATCTAAATGGCAAAAATAAATCTGTTCCGAAAATGTGATACTTCGCGGCTTGACAGAAGAAGTTCTCAGCCAACTTTTGCAATATTCAACAAGCAGAAAAGAACTCAACAATTGTTTTATGTTCTTGATGCGGTTTTTGCATAAGAAATAAACCCGGAAAATGGCTGACAAAAGGCAAAAGCTCTGGGCCGAAACCGCAACTCTTAAGGCGCCAAAAAATATTGACGTTGCTTTCACTTAAGGTTTTGCATAAATATTTTTGTTTCATAGCGCTTTCGTGTGGTTCTCCTTTTTTCTTGCGGGCAGGAAGTTTATTTTCATTGCAATGTCACCCTGAGTACCTTGGCTCCTTTCCCTGACAGGCACACTTTAAACTGCATGGCGAGTTCTTCCGAGCAAGAGAAGGACTCAAGTGTCGTCGCCCTTTTTCAAGAGCCGGCTGAAGCGAGAGCTTAAGTGTTCGGGCCAACTTAGAGAGTAAAGCAGCTACAGATGCTCGGCCACAAGCTCCGCCATATCCTTGATCCCCTTCCCATTGGCCAGGAGGAGCTGCCTTTTTGCCGCATTTCCAACTGGAAGGGGAAAACTTTTTTGGGGAACTACCGCTACAAGTTATCAACTTGTGTAGTTAAGTTTTAAAGCTGAGCCCGGGATTATGTATTACTTTGCAGAGAGTCGTTTATCTGCTGCGTGGTTTTTACGGTCAAGCCAAAGAGCAGAAGTTGCTCAAAGACGCGGGAAGAGAGACGGTTTCAGTGCCAGCAAACCATATTTGTCTTATTTATGCATAAGAAAACAAAAATAGCTACCACGTCAAGTGTGTTAAAAGCCTTCGGCAAAATGCGACTATAAAACAGGGCGGCTTAAGTAAATAAGAGTTACGCAAAGTAGCAAAAGCCGCTGCCCAAAAAACCAAACCAAATATGCCTGCGAAAACAATGTAGGGAAGAGGAAGACAGGGAAAGAGGATAGCCATTTTTGTGCTGCCGTAATGAAAAACTAATCAATACAATGATAATATTGACACAGCCGCTGGAAGTCAGTGCATTCATAAAGTTGTCAGTTGTCGGCAGTCGGATTCCTGTGTTTTCGACAGTTTCGCAGTTGATATCCTACCCTCTCAGGCTTCTGCTCCACTCGAATCTCACGTACGGCAGAACAATGTAATTTAAATCCATTTTCAACACGTCGCCAATCAAAATGGCAAAAAGCTTTAGCGTGGTACAAGTATAAGCAAACATTCGCATCCGCATAACTCAAAGGATCAGGCACAGAAGGCACAGGCACATTCGCGTTGCTCCTGCTCTTGCTCGATGCTGTTGGGAAAACAATAAGATTAGCTTACTTTTGCTTTCGACGGTGACGGTTACGGTGACGGCGACGAAGAGCGATGAGCGGTCGGGCGAGCGGTAAAGTAAACGTGAAAATAAAATGGGAAAACAGGAAAACAGCAAAGAAAAACACAAGCATAGAAAAATAAATATTGAGCAGATAGCGTTCAGCGTGTAGCACCGCATATGTGAAGTTATTTTCCCCGGCAAAATCCTTTACTGCGCACTCCTGAGAGTTAGACAAATAGCGTGCCAAAAGAAAAGGCTCCATAAGCTGGTTTTCTTGCTTCCCCAACCCCCCGCAGTATTGACAACCTGTCAGCAGAAGGCGCAAATTAAATAACACATTGAGGTCTGCGTCGCTGAGCCGGGCTCATATTATTAACACCAAATCAAATGTAAGGCCTTATCCTCGTTGGACCGTTATTTATAGACATTCAGGCATCAGACATCACGAATAAGTCTTTGCTAATCAGTTTGATCCTTTCTGTAGCTTAATCGCTTGACATTTGTATTGGTTCTGGGTCCTGGCCAGACTCCAGGTGTCAATCGCGGTGTAAATTAATCCTACTTCGTGTTCCAGCCTAATTTTCATGTGTGTACTATTAATTGACAATTGTGGCCTGTCGTCCCTCATTTTCCTTCTTTTCTGTTTTTCTTGGCTGACTCGCCATTGTTTGGTTTGGCAGGAGGCGTCCGTAAATTGAGGACCTCTCTGTAGACAGCAATTTAATTTAATTACAAGGTAACCTTATCACTGGATGGCAAACGAGCACTGACCCACACCCACTCAGCCGAATACAAACAACCACTTTGAAAATGCATTTACATGTGCACTGTAAGAAAATCCTGTGGAGAAACAGGCATGCACTTTAAATTATTAAATTATATTTTAAATAGTTTCCAGTTCTCTTACTAGGAATATCAATATTCAGCTACAAGTCAGTTGGAGGACATACGATATTCGTTTCTCTATATGTTCCTGTTTAAATTTCCTTAATGCTTTCTGAAATCGTATAGAAGTTGCGCTGACTGCTGCAGTCAGGGGCATTCAATGGACTGCAGTAGCCGAAACTTGCTTCATCGCCTTTTCCCATTGGGCTGCTTTAGTGTTTTGGCGGAGAGTGCCAATTATGACGATTACACAATTTGCGTTCGCACTTGAACGCGCGAGCCTCGCTGAGCCGAGTTCCTAGGTGGAAACCATATTCACTGTGCTTGCAACGATTAATCAATTGTGTGCATCTAATGAAGCCAGAATGAAAGTAAAGGGAGGGGGGAAATGTTACACTGGAGATTAGGCTGGGGATTGCCTGCCTTTTGTTGTGAAATTATATTTCAATCTAATTCTTTGTGGAGCGGGAACTCCTACCATTTCCCCAAGTGCCTGTCAACCCTTTTCGGCCGTAAAAGAGGCGAGGCTCAAAAATTAATTTATCAAAATTACCCAAAACAAAACTGGCCCACAGAGGCAACAGATGCGTCCTTACAGTCACAAACAATACAATCACACGTCAAATTCGAAACCCACTAAATAATGCCAGTTGCGGACCGTTGGGGTTGGATTTCTGGATTCGTACGTAGCTGTGGGGCTGCGAGGCTCTTGGGTTTTTGTGGGCAGGTCGTTGCGGTCGTAACCGTGTAAACTTGCCAGTGCATTTATCTTCATTTCGGGCATTTTAGTCAGGGGTTTCCACAGCACAGCAGCAGAGGGAAAAACGTTAAGACGTTAGAGTAAGACATCAACGAAAATAGTCACAGAAAACCAGAAGTAGAAGCATATATAGAATCAGAAACAGAGCTCTCCGCATGCAGGAGAAGAGAAGCAAAGGTGAGAGGACATCCCAACGACATGACATATTAGAATCCTGTTACGCAGCAGCAACAGCAGTGTTGCCGGTTGACTGCCAAATTGCCAACATAAATGTCACAGGGATGGGGAAAGTTGGGTGGAATGGCTGGGAAGTATGCTACGGGATTTTTCAATTCTGTTGCTTGGGTTTCCCTCCTATTTGTTTTATTTTCTATACCATGCAATCACTCAGCCGTTGAAATCACACATGTGCGACTAGATGTCTCCATACCTGGATGTGGATCTGTGTGTGTGTGTGCGGGCGAGGGAAGATGATTTGGAAATCCTGTATTGCCGATTTTTGCTGTTGCTGCTTTTGCTGCTGTCGTCGCAGCTTTTGCCTTCAGGTGCGTGTAGCTTTCTCTGCTGGGGTTAAGGTCCCTGAGGGCAGGGCAACGGATTTGTCTCCCTTCCTCTCGGGTTTAAAGCATAAAACCATTGCCAACAGGAAATTGGCGAAAATTCTAAATTTACGGAAATATTCAACTAACGAGGGAATTAAAAATGACTTGGTCTGCCATCCCGCAGTCAAGAGCAAACATCTCCGGCGTCTACTCATATGATTCCTTGAGTTTAGCTGCTACCACGGTGCCGACAACAATTCGCTAAGCATCTTATCTGAAACTTGCCACATTGCAGCAGCAAACGCTGCGACAACAGCAACACAAATAGTAAATGACAGGCGGCGAAATATGACACAAAACGCAGAAATAAAGGAACAGTCAACAGTGGCTGGGCCAGGACGCCAAACAATCAACTGAATGCTGCACAGGTGGGCCGCCAGACACAGAGCACAAAAGGAAAGAGCAGCATAAGAGGGAAACCTAAGACAAGTCATTTGCACAATGGACATGAGCAGAAGAAAGAAAGCTGAATGAAATGAGAAATTGTATAAATATGTTGGCAGCAGCAGCGCACAGCACACAAGATTAACCCTATTCCACTCGCACAAATACAAACACACTCTCCTGCATTTTAAGAGATTTTCCACAAGAGAAAGCGGCGGCGTTGACTTTTCCACTCGTCTGACTTGTCTCACGTTGACTGCGGGCTAACGACAAGGCCTTTTACCAGGATTAGTAGTTAACAAGAGAAATCTGCCCACGCACAGATAGAGATAGAGACAGAGATAGATACACACGATGCTGGGGCTACAGCCAAAGGTAATCAGTGAAATGTAACTGTATTGTTTGGTCTAGCTGTGTTGGTGTTGCGGCTGCTTCCATTGTTGCTGCTGTGTCACCTAAGTCACAGGACCGCTCCCTTGGTCTACTTCTTATTTTTGGCCCTCTTGTTGCTGTTGCTGTTGCTGATGCTGACGCTGTGGGTGTTGCTTCTGCCTGCTGCATCCTCTTAACCTTTTTTTGTTGTTGTTCGTGTTGCTTCTGCTGCCGTTGCGATCTCTTTTTAAGTAGTTTGCTTTTGGGCTCACCACCACCAAATCCTCCACCTTCAGGTGGCACACACCCCCGCAAAGGTGACAACCTCGCTTTTGGTTTTCTCCTGGCTCGATTGTTGCTGCTCTTACTGCCGTTGCGGTTGTTGCTGCCCCTTTTGGCCCTTTTGCTCAACCCTCCACTTTCATTTAAGTAATCAAAATATGCTTTTGACTCCAAGCTAAGCAGCTGGCATCCCTGTGCTGGTCTGCTGATTCGTTTGTCTCCTTGGTATGCGTGTGGTTTCATTTGTATTTGTGTTCGCCCCCTCACCATCTCACTCCCCCACCCTACTCGCTCTGAATTTCTCTGTGTGGTCTGTCCGCAAAACCCCAAAAACTATGCATTTTACTGCTTTTGTCAAGCACGTGTGTGTTTGTGTGGGTACGAGTGTGTGCGCGGCCATGTGTATTTATTTGAAAGCTTTTTAAACTTTGTCTTTGTGGCTTACGAAATTAAAATTAGAAATTGGTTTAGAGCACCCACAAATACAGGAACGCTCTCAAAGGACGTTCGAGTGTGTGTGCATTTATGATGGGTCCAAATCTCCTGAAGAACGGGGTTTAGGTTACCCAGAAAGTGTAATTAATCAGATGGTTCGTCGGGCCGACCCACATTTGCATATAAATCGTAGTTGCTTCATTTGTTTATTCTGGCCGAAAACTTAATTGCCACATTAATAACACTTAAGACCTGAAGTTGTGCCAAAGCAGATTTCTGTATATAGGGTCTTGGAAAGTTTGTCTTGTCGATGATTGTATATTAGAATTGGTATACCTTTGACATGGATTAATGTTTACACCAATTATATTAAAAAGTTATCCTACACTTATAATACTTCAAATTAGAGAAAGAGTGGGAAATTTTTTGATTTTGAACTAATTAGGATCAGGCAATTACTTCTAACAAATAGGTTTACTCACGTTGTGACTCTGGTCAGTCTTCAGTTCGCGATGGTTGGAGAACTGCACATAGACCATGCGGCCGCGCATCTGGGGCGGATTGACTGTGTAGCAGGACACCATTGACGTGGCGGAAATCTCGTCAGCCATCTCGATGAACGCCTGGTTCTTGCCCTTGAGCACCAGCACGTTGGTCACACGTCCGAATGGAATGCCCAGAGCAATCACATCCGACTCGCCGGACTCGTTTGGAATGTTGCGCAAGTGGATGACTTTGGAGGCCTTGGCTAAAAAGGGAAAAAAAGGTGAAAATAAGTATACGTTGTTTAACCAATTGAAATATTAATCAGATTAAAATCCCTAGAGCTGCTTTCTCTCTATACCCCTCTATCTCGCTGCATCGCTCCCATGTCTTTTGGGGCATCTCCGGTTCACTTAATGGCCAGCACAGTCTGCACTTCCGCTTCCGCGCTTCACTTAATATGTGTTTTTTTGGGTTTTATTTGTTTCCAACCTTTGTTGCAAAGGAAGAGGAGAAAGCAAATAAAAATGTTGATAACATGGGCATAGCCCGCCACATTTGTGTTCCCTTTGCACAGTTAAATCCGATCCATGGGGCGGGAGAAGTGGTACCGCCATAAATTCATTCATTGCACTTTCAACGGCTGTGAATAATCCAACAGCAACACGGCGACAATGTCCGGTGCACAGTCAACGTTTGAGGTTTTTAGGCACTCGTAGTCGTTTTTGCAGCTTCTCTGCTGTTGGTGTAGTCTCTCCCCGCCGGCTACTTGTTTGTTATTTTTTAAAGCACCCACCCCACTGCAATACCGCCAATTGGTGCAGCACAAATGGGATTTAGGCAGCCTTTGGCTCTCGAAGCGATTGCAAGCAGGGATATCCCTACGAAGGCACTGAGCAAAACCTTGCAATGAAATGTAATTCTCCAAATACAATTTAATTGGTAGCCAAAATTGGCTTAGTTATACAAAAAATTCTGATATTTTCGACGCAAAATACAGTATACGTCTTTAGACAGAAAATAGCCCTGTTTTAATGTAGTTTCTTAGCTCTAATTGCGTCAAAACAAGACGCACGGCAAAACAATTACAGTTTTGGACAGCTAACTACCTAAACCTAAGACCCTATCATTCGTTTTTCGATTTTGGGAAATTCAATTTTCGGCTAAATTTCGCATTTTTGATAAGGGGTACCATAATCAAAATTTTCAAAAAATGGCCGAAAATGAAGTTTTCCAGATTTTAATGAAACTCGATTGGGAATCAAAGCAATCAAATTACAAGCCCTACGAGCTATTACAATCCATATTCTGACCATTTTTGGCTGTGCTATGGCTAAAAAACTGATTTTTTTGCGCCCAACGTCAAGTATACGTCGTTCGACAGCAGAGAGCCAGGTTTTGTTCCCGTTTGTTACTTCTAATTTTGTCGCACGGCTAAAACAGTGACTGTTTTATGCAGCAAACAACCAAAACCTGAAGCCCCTATACTTGCTTTTATCATTACTGTTCTGATTTTTTGGTGAGAGCTCTGATTTAATGGCTGAAAAATCAGGAAGCCTATTTTTAACAGAAATTTGCAATATTGTTCGGTTTTTAGCTCTAGCTCGGTCAAAACAAGCCGCACAGCAATAAGAACGAGTGTTTTGCGCTCCTAACGACCACCACTTACCACTCCTATCATTCGTTTTTCGATTTTGGGAAATTCAATTTTCGGCTAAATTTCGCATTTTTGATAAGGGGTACCATCATCAAAATTTTCAAAAAATGGCCGAAAATGAAGTTTTCCAGATTTTAATGAAACTCGATTGGGAATCAAAGCAATCAAATTACAAGCCCTATGAGCTATTACAATCCATATTCTGACCATTTTTGGCTGTGCTATGGCTAAAAAACTGATTTTTTTTAGCCCAACGTCAAGTATACGTCGTTCGACAGCAGAGAGCCAGGTTTTGGTCCCGTTTGTTACTTCTAATTTTGTCGCACGGCTAAAACAGTGACTGTTTTATGCAGCAAACAACCAAAACCTGAAGCCCCTATACTTGCTTTTATCATTACTGTTCTGATTTTTTGGTGCGAGCTCTGATTTAATGGCTGAAAAATCAGGAAGCCTATTTTTAACAGAAATTTGCAATATTGTGTTCGGTTTTTAGCTCTAGCTCGGTCAAAACAAGCCGCACAGCAATAAGAACGAGTGTTTTGCGCTCCTAACGACCACCACTTACCACTCCTATCATTCGTTTTTCGATTTTGGGAAATTCAATTTTCGGCTAAATTTCGCATTTTTGATAAGGGGTACCATCATCAAAATTTTCAAAAAATGGCCGAAAATGAAGTTTTCCAGATTTTAATGAAACTCGATTGGGAATCAAAGCAATCAAATTACAAGCCCTACGAGCTATTACAATCCATATTCTGACCATTTTTGGCTGTGCTATGGCTAAAAAACTGATTTTTTTTAGCCCAACGTCAAGTATACGTCGTTCGACAGCAGAGAGCCAGGTTTTGGTCCCGTTTGTTACTTCTAATTTTGTCGCACGGCTAAAACAGTGACTGTTTTATGCAGCAAACAACCAAAACCTGAAGCCCCTATACTTGCTTTTATCATTACTGTTCTGATTTTTTGGTGCGAGCTCTGATTTAATGGCTGAAAAATCAGGAAGCCTATCTTTAACAGAAATTTGCAATATTGTGTTCGGTTTTTAGTTCTAGCTTGGTCGAAACAAGTCGTACAGCCAAAAGAACAACTGTTTTGTGCTGCTAACGACCACCACGTACCACCCCTATGATTCGTTTTTCGATTTTGGGAAATTCAATTTTCGGACAAATTTCGCATTTTTGATAAGGGGTACCATCATCAAAATTTTCAAAAAATGGCCGAAAATTAAGTTTTACAGATTTTAATGAAACTCGATTGGGAATCAAAGCAATCAAATTACAAGCCCTACGAGCTATTACAATCCATATTCTGACCATTTTTGGCTGTGCTATGGCTAAAAAACTGATTTTTTTGCGCCCAACGTCAAGTATACGTCGTTCGACAGCAGAGAGCCAGGTTTTGTTCCCGTTTGTTACTTCTAATTTTGTCGCACGGCTAAAACAGTGACTGTTTTATGCAGCAAACAACCAAAACCTTAAGCCCCTATACTTGCTTTTATCATTACTGTTCTGATTTTTTGGTGCGAGCTCTGATATAATGGCTGAAAAATCAGGAAGCCTATTTTTAACAGAAACTTGCAATAGTGTGTTCGGTTTTTTAGCTCTAGCTCGATCGAAACAAGTCGTACAGCCAAAAGAACAACTGTTTTGTGCTCCTAACGACCACCACTTACCACCCCTATCATTCGTTTTTCGATTTTGGGAAATTCAATTTTCGGACAAATTTCGCATTTTTGATAAGGGGTACCATCATCAAAATTTTCAAAAAATGGCCGAAAATGAAGTTTTCCAGATTTTAATGAAACTCGATTGGGAATCAAAGCAACCAAATTGCAAGCCCTACGAGCTATTACAATCCATATTCTGACCATTTTTGGCTGTGCTATGGCAGAAAAACTGATTTTTTTGCGCCCAACGTCAAGTATACGTCGTTCGACAGCAGAGAGCCAGGTTTTGTTCCCGTTTGTTACTTCTAATTTTGTCGCACGGCTAAAACAGTGACTGTTTTATGCAGCAAACAACCAAAACCTTAAGCCCCTATACTTGCTTTTATCATTACTGTTCTGATTTTTTGGTGCGAGCTCTGATATAATGGCTGAAAAATCAGGAAGCCTACTTTTAACAGAAATTTGCAATAGTGTGTTCGGTTTTTAGCTCTAGCTCGATCAAAACATGTCGTACAGCCAAAAGAACAACTGTTTTGTGCTCCTAACGACCACCACTTACCACCCCTATCATTCGTTTTTCGATTTTGGGAAATTCAATTTTCGGACAAATTTCGCATTTTTGATAAGGGGTACCATCATCAAAATTTTCAAAAAATGGCCGAAAATGAAGTTTTCCAGATTTTAATGAAACTCGATTAGGAATCAAAGCAATCAAATTACAAGCCCTACGAGCTATTACAATCCATATTCTGTCCATTTTTGGCTGTGCTATGGCAGAAAAACTGATTTTTTTGCGCCCAACGTCAAGTATACGTCGATCGACAGCAGAGAGCCAGGTTTTGTTGCCGTTTGTTGGCTCTAATTTTGTCGCACGGCTAAAACAGTGACTGTTTTATGCAGCAAACAACCAAAACCTTAAGCCCCTATACTTGCTTTTATCATTACTGTTCTGATTTTTTGGTGCGAGCTCTGATATAATGGCTGAAAAATCAGGAAGCCTACTTTTAACAGAAATTTGCAATAGTGTGTTCGGTTTTTAGCTCTAGCTCGATCAAAACATGTCGTACAGCCAAAAGAACAACTGTTTTGTGCTCCTAACGACCACCACTTACCACCCCTATCATTCGTTTTTCGATTTTGGGAAATTCAATTTTCGGACAAATTTCGCATTTTTGATAAGGGGTACCATCATCAAAATTTTCAAAAAATGGCCGAAAATGAAGTTTTCCAGATTTTAATGAAACTCGATTGGGAATCAAAGCAACCAAATTGCAAGCCATACGAGCTATTACAATCCATATTCTGACCATTTTTGGCTGTGCTATGGCAGAAAAACTGATTTCTTTGCGCCCAACGTCAAGTATACGTCGTTCGACAGCAGAGAGCCAGGTTTTGTTCCCGTTTGTTACTTCTAATTTTGTCGCACGGCTAAAACAGTGACTGTTTTATGCAGCAAACAACCAAAACCTTAAGCCCCTATACTTGCTTTTATCATTACTGTTCTGATTTTTTGGTGCGAGCTCTGATATAATGGCTGAAAAATCAGGAAGCCTACTTTTAACAGAAATTTGCAATATTGTGTTCGGTTTTTAGCTCTAGCTCGATCAAAACAAGTCGTACAGCCAAAAAGAACAACTGTTTTGTGCTCCTAACGACCACCACTTACCACCCCTATCATTCGTTTTTCGATTTTGGGAAATTCAATTTTCGGACAAATTTCGCATTTTTGATAAGGGGTACCATCATCAAAATTTTCAAAAAATGGCCGAAAATGAAGTTTTCCAGATTTTAATGAAACTCGATTGGGAATCAAAGCAACCAAATTACAAGCCCTACGAGCTATTACAATCCATATTCTGACCATTTTTGGCTGTGCTATGGCAGAAAAACTGATTTCTTTGCGCCCAACGTCAAGTATACGTCGTTCGACAGCAGAGAGCCA